CTTTTTGCTCAAAGCTAGTGCTCTACCACCTGAGTCAAAGTTCTATTTTCAGCTTTTTGCGGTTAATTGGAGGTAAAAATCAGAAGGACTTTTCTGTCCAGGCTGGCTTTGAACTGTGATCCTCAGAACTCAGCCTCCTGAGAAGCTAGGATTACAGGCGTGAGCCACCAGTGCCGGCTTATCTTAAATTGTTTTAAACTTTTGTTCTTTCTGTTATAAACATTTAAAGATATTTTCTTGAATGTAGTGTTCTATAAATGTCAATTAAATCAAGTTGGATCATATTGTTATTTAATTCACCCATTGGGTATGGTAGCAGGTAGAAGTGTTAGCTCCTGCCTGTAATACTAGTTACTTGGGAGGCTGAGACCTGGAGGATTACTGTGCAAGCCCAGTCCAAGGCAGAGAAATTCAATTCTCAATTCAATTCTCAGAAAAGTATGTGAAAATCCATCTCCAATGAAGAAGCAGTTGTATTGGAGAGCTTCTGTGATACCAATTATGGCCGGAAGCAGAAAATAGGCAGATGATGCATGATCCAAGCACATTCTGGGCAGGGAACGAGAACCTACCTCAAAAATAATCAGCAGCAGGGTGCCTACTTACCAAGTGCAAGACCTGAGTTGAAAACAAACCCTGTGTATTTCTTATTTTGTATTTATTGTTAGTTTCTGTTACTGAAAGCAACATGCTGATGGGTTTTGTTTCTCCCTTGAGTTCTGTAAACTTTGTTTTCATGTTTATAAAGTACACCTCTTTTAGACAGTAGACAGTCTATATTTAAGGTAAGTGTTACATTCATAGAGAAACTGAACAGGAAATGCAGAGTCTTCATATATTTTTGACAGCATGCACCCAGAGACATTGTCTTATACCCAGAAGGGTAGATTTGCTATTTGAACCTATATTGGCATATCATGACCATCCAAAGTCCAATTTATACCTGTTCATTCTTGATTTTGGACAGTTCACAATGTTTACAGTATGGGGCTTCCAACTCGGAGCCTGGTGCTCATTTGGCTTGCTGGCTTGGTTGGCACTCTACCACTTGGGCTATACCTCCAGTTCTGCATTTTTTTTTAAAGCTGCTACTTTGCAGATGGAGTCTAACAGACTTTCTTCCAATGCTAGGCTTGAACTGCAATCCTCTGGATATTAGTCTCCCAGTTGGAGTTGTAAGCATTGGCCACCATGCTGTGTTTTGTCACACACAGAATGATGTATATCCATCATGTTTACAGAATAGTTTCACTGTTCCCTCAATCATGTGCTGAACCTGGCCATCCCTCCCTCCCTGGCATCCAGTGGTTTGTCTTTTTCAGAAAGTTATGTAATTGGAATGATAATGTAGTCCTTTTAGACTGACAACTGAGTAAGAAAGCATTTAAAGTTCCTCCTTTAGTTTTCATGGGTAGGTAAGTTATTTCTTTTTAAGGCTACATACTATTCTGAAACTTACATGTACCATAGTTTATCCATTTGCCAACGGATGGACATCTTGGTTACTTCTAAATTTGAGCAATTACCAATACAGACATCTGAGTGTAAGGTTTTGCATGGACATGTTTTTGGCTCATTAGAGTAAATATAAGGCAGTATTGGAATATATTTAGTTATATGAAGAGTGTTTTGTTACACAGAAAATTGCCAAGCTGTCTTCTGAAGTGACACTTCTGCATTCTCCCCAGCCCCAGAGTTCTGTGGCTTCACATTCTTACTAGCATTTGGTATTGGGTTCTGGATTTTGGCCATTCTAAGTTTATGGTGGTATCTCACTGTTATTTTAATTGTGCAGTCCCTAATGACATATGATGTTATTTTTTATATGCTTTTCATGTGTATGTCTTCCTCAGTGAGGCACCCATTTAGATCTTTTGCTCATTTTTAATCAAGTTCATATAATTATTGAATTTTAAGAGCTCTTCATATATGTGAATGACAATTCTTATCAAGTATGCTTTTAAAATATTTCTCCTAGTCTGGCTTATCTTAATGCCTTGGCAGTGTCTTATGGAGTTTATTTCATAAATTACACCTTTGGTGTTGTACCTTAAAAGGATCAGTAAACTCATAGTTTTTTCTTTGCTGTGTTTGTTTTTTCTGTGCTGTTTTGGTTTGTGTGTGTGTGTGTTGCATGTGGATGTTTAAAGCATTTGTTGCAAAATCTCTTTTCTCCATTGTACAGCTTTGGCTGACAATCAGCTATCTTTGTGTGGTCTGGATCTTATTGTTTAACAGTCTGACCATCATCTGCTTTTTTTTTTTTTTGTGGCATTATGGGGCCTGAACTCTGGGCCTGGGCGCTGTCCCTTAGCTCTTCAGCTCAAGGCTAGTGCCCTACCACTTGAGCCACAGCACCACTTTTGGCTTTTCCTGCTGATGTGGTGCTGAGGAATCAAACCCAGGGCCTCATGCATGCAAGGCAAGCGCTCTACCACTGAGCCACCTTCCCAGCCCCAATCATCATCTGCTTTTTAATTGGAAATAATCTTTTAATTGCAAGTTAGTCATGTTGCTGATTTCTGTCACATTTTCTTTCTTCATATGTTCTTTCTTCTGGATTCAATGTATCTGTTTCTTCACCATTTTTAAGTCATACCTTATCTCCTTACTGATTGCTCTATTTAATTTTTGGTAAACCCTTCCCTATTTCAGAATGGATAACTCTGTAGATAAATGTTCATATTCACAAATCCCACCTTTTGCATTAGCCATTAGTGTAGACAGTAAATATTTCAGATACTGTATTAGGTCTGAGTTTCTGCTTTCATTATATAATTCCCATCCTCTAATGACATTCTCTATTTGTTCACTTTTGTGACCATTTTTTCTTTTATGTACTTGAATATATTAACTATTTTAATTAACATTTTTGTAAATTCTGTTACCAAATGTTGGGTCATGGGCGGGGGGGGGGGCGGGGAGTCTATTTGTAATCTTCAAATAGTCGTTAAGATTAAAATTTAACGTAGCCACTTAGGGTCCAGCACATCTTGACCAGTCATTCTCCATCCTTCTCCATCTCCCCCACCTCTTGCCCCTGGAGACACATCACATTTCAGGGAGTCTATTTATAGCTATTTTTCTTCCATGTGGATCCTCTTCTTCTCTACCTCAATAGCTAGAATTATAGGTGTGAGCCATTGGCACCCAGCTTAACTAGCCATTTCTTGTTTACTAGATGATGCACATTGTGATATTTTGTATGAAGTCTGGATGGTCACCTTTGCTTAAATATACTGAGCTTTACACTGTGTTAGAGAAAGACTATGTCTCTTAGTCCATTGTGATCCATAAATGACAGCTTGTTCTTGAAAATGAGACTTTATTTGAGTAGAAATTATGTCCACCTATTTATGTTTTTGCTTTTGTAGTTGTTGGCCAAGTACCATAAACTGAGTGACTATAAATAAATAAATTTATTTTTCAAAACTTATTTCCCAGCTGCAGGCTGGAAAATCCATCGTTAAGACACCATAGATTCAGCATCAGCTGGTGTCCTGCTATGTTGTCACATGAGGGTGAGAGACTTCTCTGAACTTTCTTTTTTATAGACCCAGTGATCCTATAATGGCTTCCTAGAGGTTCCACCTCAAGTACTATCATGGTAGAGATCAGGTTTCAGCCTTGGAATCTGAACAGCAGGGGACAAGCATTCAGTCTTCAGTAATATGAATCACAAGCCTAAGACATACACTATCTAACTCCTTAATACTTTCACAAACCCATCTCTTAAGGTGTCATATTTCCCTAGCAGTATTCTATTTTAGCTGGTCCTTAACTCCAAGGATTCAACAAGTACAATATAACTTTCAGCATCACTGTTCAACTCAAGTTCCAAACAGCTAACCTTCTGCAAGATCCTTACATATCCTTGTATTATGTATGCACATCCAATCATTATTCTGGATGACTTTTCTCCCTTAGTTTAGCTCTTGTCTCTTATAAATTCCACTTGCTGTCTGCTTCTACAACATAGCAGAATTGCCACTCTCTTTGTATTCAACTTCTCTGTGATAATGCTGGAAGATTACCTCAAACAAACATCCAGGATATTTACAGCTTATGTCTCCCTTCTCTAAGACACACTGTACATTGCTTGTGTTTCAGTGCCTGGAATACTTGCTGACATATTAGTTGATTATGGTAAGGGAGAAATCTGGCACTATTTGTATTGCTATGTAAAACCAAAAGTCCTAGGAAAGAGCATATTCTGATCATTCTCCCCACTGCCTTGTGTTTGACACTCATTGAATTCTCTAATCTTCCGTGTTATCCATGCCCAGTTCCTTAACTACCCCTCACAGTACAGAACAGATATGATGATGGTAAGTCACCACATGCAGGGCTGCACAATCAGACAGTCCTCATCTCCAAGTTGCTGAGTGTCATAAACAAGACAGACCACCCACATTCCTTGTTCCCTTATGAAATCCATTTCTGAAAGCTGAAACATGAAGCAGGGTGTGCAGAACTAAAGGTTATTAAAAGCCAAAGGCTAGAATTCTTTTTTTGCCTTCTCTATTATCCTTATTAGACAGCGATAGGGACCAGATATACTACTGTGAGAAAGAAAACGGGGGAAGAATTTATAGAAAAAAGTATACCTGGCAAAGGTTGCCTTTCCAAGTCTTAATTACAAACCATTAAAAATGAATTCGGCTTATGCTGTCTTTGACCATCTAAAGGTCAGAGAGTTCAAAAACAAATTTTATGAATCTTCAGAATTATATCTGAAACTCAAAAACTAAGATATTAATTGGTGACTATAACCTCACACACCCTCTCTCAGATGGCTAGTGGTCCCTACAGTGAAATTGCTCTGTGAGGCTTTAGCCTTAAGTCCTAGCTTTAAACAAGTTTGGTCAATGACACCTTGGCAGCCTAGGAGTCACATCCACTCTGATCAAATCAGGGTGGGGATGCTATTTAGGAGGAGAAACCTGCAACATAAACCATCATTCTCTGCTAAAGCAAGTGGTAAATATTCAACCAGAGAATAAAACCAAATTTTTAATAGGCCATAATGTGCCGGCTCACAGGATATATGGCAGAAGCACATTTTGCTCTGCCTGTTTCTTGTCACATTCAAGATCAGCATCAGCAAACGTTTCCTATAAAGGGCTAGAGAGTAAGTATTTTATGCTTTGTGCACCACAGCCTATTCAATTCTGCCATTGTCAGCATGTTTATACACAACATAGAAACGGTGGTGTTCTGACAGTTCCACAGGAATCTAGAATTTGGTCCAACAGTGATGTATCTGGTCCTGTGATGCCTGCTATAAATAAGTGTAGATAATTAAAAAGGCTGAAAATATGTTTTCATATTTTGTAAACTGGCAAGTGAAATGAACTTGTTTCCACACCATGAATCATATTTTGCATTCTATGTTATACTATCTCCACACATTAATGAATCATATTTTACCTTCTATAACTCCAAAATGAAAACTCCCTTCTCTCAACAGGTAAATACCACACAGGAATAGTGAGAGGGACATTGATTATCGACGTGGCCTGGTCAACATCAAGTTAAGGTCCCCTCGTTGTTTTCCAGTGATGCTGCAGAAGTAGTCTTTGCCAGTACTTCTTTCCTTCATTCAGCCAGAGCTCTTCACACCACCATGGGTTGCATGAAATCAAAGCAAACCTTCCCATTTCCTACCACACTGGAGAATGAGAAGCGACATGAGAGTGAAGAAAACTTTATACCAGAAGAGAGACTTCTACCTAAGATACCCTCTCCAGATATCACCCCAACAGCTGAGAAGGAAGTTCCACCACCGAATACTACGATCCTTGAATATGCAGAGTCCCTAGCTCAGGAGATCATGGAGGACGCTGTGAATCAATGGGCAAGCAATAACACCAAGTACTGTGACATCCCATACATTGAGAATGACAGCTCTGACACTGCAGGATGACAGAACTTTCCTGAACTTTGCATATAGCTGGTGCTAGTTTAAATACATGAGGCAAAAGCAAATGTTGGTGTGAATAAGTACAAATAAGTCTATCTAGATGTAAAAACAGGTGAAGAATGCCACAAGTGTAGGAATAACTAAGAAGAAATGTGTTTTAAGCAGTTCTCTATTAATGGCAATACAGATTGCACCTGGTGTCACAGGCTGGACAGAGGCCCTGTGTCTCAGTAATTAGCTGTAATGCCATAGCACATCTTCCCCATGCACTAATGTGATCACCAAAGAGAAATAAGTGCCCAAGTTCCAAATGGCTGTTTTAATAGATTTTGTTGTGGTGGTGGTTGTTGTTGATTGTGGGGCCTGATCTCTGGGCCTGGGCGCTGTCCCTCAGCATTTCAGCTCAAGGCTAGCACTCGTACCACTTGAGCCACAGCACCTCTTTTGGCTTTTTCTGCTGATGTGGTACTGAGGAATAGAATCCAGGGCCTCATGCAGGCGAGGCAAGCACTCTGCCACTGAGCCACCTGCCCAGCCCCTTACTGGATTATTTTTTTTAATGACTATTTCTTTTATACCCCCTAAAAACCGCCCCCTTTTTTTTTCTGAACACCTTGGCAAGCAAATGGCTCTCAAGTCACAGTGAGGTACATGTGTCTTGTTGGTCAAAACTAACTGGGTTAAGGATTCCCAGGTCTTTACATCTACAACCCAGGATTAGAAAGTGAGCAAAGTACAATCAGGGCCACTTGACCCTTGTTCTTAAGCATACTGCCATCTTGAACCCCATGCCCTAAATAGAACAAGTATAGGAGAGATTAGACTTTGCCATCTTAAAAAGATAAAATTATTAGAAGCCATTACATGCTGTATTGCATTGAATTAGGCCCCTTTTATAAATACCAATTCAGTAAATCTCAAAAATAACAGAAGCCTAGTGTGTAGGCATAAAGCAGAGAGTGGGGTTAAGGTTAACTGTGTGAGGCTTTACTGACAGAGATGCTGCTGTAAAGGGAACTCATGCCCAGTTTTGTGATGCAGTCACTTGCTACATAACTATGGGGAGCTGACAGATTTGTAGCTTATTATAAAATAGAGCACTCCTCTAAAGGAAATGTGCTTTTTAGTGGTAATACTTGCCATAGGGTATTTTTAGCCATAATTTCAAGCACCTTTTTTAAAGTACTACTTAAAGATCAACAGCAACAGAAGACTGGATGAGATGAAAAACAGTGAAAAGACAAAACATATAGGAAAGAAGGAACTAAGACAGGTAAAAGGAACTGAGCCTCTAGAATGGTTTTTCCATCAAGATTGTTGGAAAGGCAGCTTCAATTTATGGGCTTCAATTTATGTTTGATATTTTTATAAAGGTGTAACCTACCAGTGTCATTGATAACTAAAAGCAGGTGGAAAAAGGCTGTGGATCTCTAAAAGCAGAGATTAAATATGCTTTTTGACTTTGTAAGCAGGTAGAAAAAGCTACCTCTAATTTTAACAATACTCTGACACCCACAATCAAATAGAGCAAATTCTCCAACAAAAAGATAATTAAAATAAGCAGCATGCCATCTTCCAGCTGTGCTTGGACACCTACACCTGATCAATTTTAATTTTCCTGTACCACAGGATTTGCAATCTAGAAACATGTATAGAAGAGGCCCACTCACTCTCATTCATACTAGGATCTGAGTTTTAAGGCTAGGTGCAGAAAGTTTTCCATTAAAAACAAAACAGATTTCTCTAGCTCATGAGTGCAAGATTTAAGGTTGTGAATGTTTATACTAATTACTCAGACAAAAACCTAGGTTATGTTGCTTTTCATTCATCTTGTTTCATGACACTTGTTGCCAAGTCATTCAAATACATTCAAAATACTTCAGGGAGAACACAAAAGCCATATAAAGGAATATGCCACACTAAGGTTCTCGGCATACATAGGGACCAATACTCGTGGGTTAGGGTTATATCTAAATATTTAACTTGATTTTCCCTCATTGCTCTGCGCCCCTATTTTCTGGAGGTGAGTCAGGTTGTTACCTAGCTAGAGTTCTAAATCTCTCCAGCCACCTCTCCCAGCAACTGTGGTGAAACACTTTTACCAAAACAGCCACCACCCCTTTCCCTGCACCATTTATTAATGGAGTATGATGTGTATATGTTCCAAGAGACTTTGAGCAGAGTTAGTAGATAAACCAGGTGGGGAGAAAAAATAGCTGAATGAAAATGTATAAAACAGCTGACAGTTATTAAGGTAGGTTGGCCTATAACTAGTATTCTTAAATATCTTTATATTCAAATATTGGCTTTAAGCCAGGCGCTGGTGGCTCATGCCTGTAATCCTAGCTAGTAAGGAGGCTGAGATCTGAGGATCGCGGTTCAAAGCCAGCCTGGGCAGGAGAGACCGTGAGACTCCTATCTCCAATAAACCACCAGAAAACCGGAAGTGGCACTGTAGCTCAAGTGGTAGAGCGCTCGCCTTGAGCTGAAGAACTGAGGGACAGCGCCCAGGCCCAGAGTTCAAGCCCCACGACCGACAAAAAAAAAACAAAAAACAAAAAAAAAAATCAAATATTGGCTTTACTTCACTTTGAAGATCTTTCATGTTCAAGGAAGAGAATAATACAGAAGAGAGGGGAGACCTGAAAAATGGAATACTGAAAGAATTACTAGTTTACTAGAAAGGGAAACATTAGTGAAGGGCAGAGGAAATTACTAGCACAACCTTCAGATTGGAAGCAGGTCTTCATAAAATACATGTGCCAATTCCTAATACCAATCCAAAACCAAGACATTCACTGCTGCCTTCCACACTTGCCTCTCTCGTAACTGAACTACAAGCCTGTGACCCTAGAATTTCCCCCTTTTTGTTGCCTTACTAGTTGTTTGCAATCTGTGTATGGTTATTAACACTTAAAGCACAATTTAAAAGGGGACAATAATGATTACCATCTTAGTTCCAAAGGAATAATTTGTGTCAAATTGCCTTTTGAGTACGAAAAATAAACACAGGACTAAAATGGGGTTCATTTTGTACTCAATATCACCGGCAGTTCATAAAATGAGGCAGAAATATTTGCTTCCATATTACATGATCTTAAAGCCAAAAGTTAGAGATGTTATCTATGCCAAAAAAACAAGTAATTTTAAAACAAATTTCTAATAGAGCTTTTAATCAAACCGCCTTCCATCACTGGCTCTAAGAAACTACCTGCATCTTGATTTACAAAACACAAATATTATTAGCAAATTCTCTTCCCTGTTAGTGATGAAGTAGTATTATATTTTCCAAATACTTTGTCGCCTTTTTTGAAACTGCACAATAAATCCAGTTGCAATTAGCTATGAGTTTCTCATTTAATTGATGCAAATTCTTTTCAATATTTTATACAAAGACATTTTTAACATAAAAGACTTAACAGTCTATATTAAGTATGAAGTGAATATAAACCAATAATAATAATTAAATAGGCTAATTTATGAGCCTTGAAAATATAAATATGTCCAATATTGTTGGCATTTTATTCCAGACATGTTCCTGAATTTTTTGGAAGAAAAGTCCTCATGACAAATAGATTAGGAATGGGGAAAATTCAAAACAAAAGTGATAGGTTGCCATCTTCCCTCTATGAGAAGGTGCAGGATATAATCTCTGATGCCCTTTCCAGATCTCATAGCTTTTTGTAAACTTATTCTTGCCTAGAACTTCAAGGTCTTTTCCCCTGGAACTCCATCAAATTTCTTACATGGCTTACACACACTTTTCTGCCAACAGTACCAGTTATTGAAGATACTTACATTTTAAACTGTTTTGAATTTTCTCAAGTAAAAATTCAATGTAATTTGGGGTTTCGCCAGAGGAAGGTATTCTCATTACTTTAGGGAAGGCCAAGGCTGAATTTATACATTGGATAGATTAATTACATGAACCCTCCCCTCTCTTGTAAGTCAATTATTTCATACATACATACAAGAAGGAAATTCTATGAGACATTTTAACATTCTCCCCCCAAACCCCAGGGTTTTTATTTTTTTTTATCATTTACACTGAAACCACTACTGAAAGGCAAATATGAAGCTTCCATTTCATTTAGATATCTCTAGAGACCTTCAAAATTTCCCCTTTTCTAAAATGGATTGGCAAACTGACAATGATAAAACAGATGGTATTTCAGGTGCTACAGGCCATATAGCCTGTGTTGTAATTGCTTGACTCAAAGCATCCTGTAAACAGATAAGTACAGCTATGTTTCAATAAAGCCTTCTGAACACTGATATCTGAAATTACTCTGACTTTTCACATGTCATGTAATACCTTAGATTTCTTTTCTCAACGATATAAAAGTAGAGCAGCCATTGCTAACTTTTAGGCTGTATAAAAATAGGCACCAAGCCAGATTTGGCCCAGGTGGTGTAGTATGCCAACCCATGCTACCAAATATATCTTAAAACATCAACCACCTCAGAGTTTCAAATCATTGCTTCCCAGAGATTTAAAATAATTATTCACATCTTCATCGGTAACTTCTTTTAGATCAGCTGGTTTCCACTTTGGACTCTGGTCTTTATCAATTAAAACTGTCAAAAGAAGAAAAAGATACTAGCACATTTCCTTCTTGTGTAATCATATTTTAAGTGCTGAGTTGACAAAAACCTGTCTTTTACTAGGTATACTTTTCTATAGCACTTTTTTCTGTAAAGTTATGGTTTTCTACATGATCTGTTTTTCTTTTCAATTAAACCTTCAAAGAATTTGTTCAGATAGCCATATTCTTTGATGAACAGTGAGGGTATTTCTCACCTTCTGAGCTTCACATATCTAGCTTTAATAGAAGCTAGATTAATAGAGTTCTTTGAACATTCTTTTTCCTTCTTCAAAGAAAATCACTAATGAAACCTCCATGTTACAAACAGCTAAAAATCAGCACTGGCATAATTGAAACAGAAAGCCAGGGAGGAGGCCCAGTTCTTCTTTGGGAAGAAAATTAATCACTGAAGGTAGAAGGGAACTTTGTGCTTAATTAAATGTAGATACTGCTGTTCTGCTGAATCCTCTAGTTCAGACAGCTCTAAATTTAAAAAAATCAGAGCTCTGACAGGTTATCATGCAACCTTCCACTTCTCCTGTTACCACATAGTCATCACTGAGTGAAGCCACCTAATATTCCCAGAGGATGGAAAGTATGAGGCAATCTGTAACCTCCTCTTAAAAAATAGAGTCTCATACCCATTTCCTGGCTGCAGTACTATAGTTCTGGTGCACACTGTAGTTATGTAAGTGTTATTTGGGGAAGTGGGTACAGGGCATGCAGGATTTTTATTATTTTTACAAGTACATATGAATCTAAAACAATTTTCAAACCATGGTTCTCAACGTTTACAATATGCATAATTTTAATGAAGAATAAAAATAACTCTGGATAACTGTAAAAATCCAATTTAAGTATTAAATGGCTAAATAAGGAGCAGTCTGGAAAACAAGGAAGAAGGCTATCTTGTTAGGAGGAAGAAAAGAACCTTTATGTAAATGTGGAAATTAGAGAGGTGTTTTGTTTTGGGTGGTGTTTTTGTTTTTCTGTTTTTGAGGTGATGTGTCTCTACCTTTCCTAGACTGGTCTCAAACTATCTCCCAAGTAGGAGGGACTATAGACATGCATACTGGATGGCTTTAAGGTTTGGCTGTCTACTATGGGACTCCAGAATCCAATCAGTGGTATCTTAAACACCAGTGTTCTGATCCATAATCAATTTCAAAGTGTACATTCCCTAGCTATTGTAAATTTATAATGGTGCATTCTTTCCATGTCATTCTCTTCCCTTTTAAGCTTTCTGGCCAATATTATCTGCCTCCTTGAGATGCCACCAAAGGAAACAGAAAAGACTATTACTCAAATCTGTACTAGTTCCTCTTAAGCTAGCCCAAGTTTTTGCTTAGAAGAACATAACAAATTCTTGCCATGTAGGCAGCTCGGGTTTTTCAGAAGGTCTCCTGAGATCCCCAGACTTCATTTGTTAGCTACTGAGCTCTACTTAAGATCATCCATTTTATTTTCTTTCACAACTAGAAAGAGTTTAATTCTAAATAGTAAGCCTAAGATATTTAATAACCATTCCCTAATCTACCTACTTATTTTATTTAATTTGCTGAATTTTTTTTTCGGGGGGGGGGGGGTCGGTCATGGGGCTTGAACCATCTGGGCTTGGGTGCTGTCCCTGTGCTCTTCAGCTCAAGGCAAGCGCTCTACCGCTTGAGCCACAGCGCCACTTCCGGTTTTCTAGTGGTTTATTGAAGATAAGAGTCTTACGGACTTTCCTGCCAGGGCTGGCTTTGAACTGCGATCCTCAGATCTCAGCCTCCTGAGTAGCTAGGATTACAGGCATGAGCCACCGGTGCCCAGCTTTGAAATATTTTTATAGATAGCAAGAACACTAAACATTTGTCCCAGAGCAGATACTGCTTTCTAAATAAGAGGCTTTGTTAAAGAGGAGGCTTCATACGTTTATTAAAAATGTAGCTAGGTGTGGTGTATTTACTTGTAATTCCAGCACTTAGAAGGCTGAGGTAGGAAGATCAGCTCAAGACCAGCTGGATTACATAGTGAGACACTGATTCAATAATTTTTAGACTTTTTTAAAAACTTGAGTTTAAAAAACAATAGCTTGATAAAGTTTATGATCTAGCACTCAAATGCTGCTCGAGTTCAACTCTTTTTTCCTTAAAGATATATTCTAAAAATATAAAATGTTTTTAGATAGATACACTCTCACAATAAATGATCATGATAGTGCATCTTCAACAAAACCAAATCTGTACATAGTCTTTCTAAAATCAGAGGTTTAGGTTCCAGTACAGCAAGAATGTTTAGTGAGTTAGTAAGGAAAATATATGTTACTTTGTTTCTAAAAAAAAGTGGAACCATCTGTTCTGATTCAATAACATGTGCTTTATAAAAGGATTTGACCCCAGTTCTTATTTATGATATTATATCATGCCAGAAATTAGGACAATTGTTAGTGTTTACTAAAGCTTAGGGTTCAGAACATAACCTCTTATTCAGATAAAAACATATTTCTAGCTGGGCACTGGTGGCTCATGTCTGTAATCCTAGCTACTCAGGAAGCTGAGATCTGAGGATCATGGTCCAAAACCAGCCCACGCAGGAAAGTCTGTGAGACTCTTATCTCCAATTAAGCACCAGAAAACCAGAATTAGTGCTGTGGCACTCAAATTGGTGCTAGAGTGCTAGCCTAGTTCAAGCACCATGACCAACAACAGTAACAAATTTCTAGGGCAGGGGTGTGCGACAGTGGTAGAGCGCTTGCCTAGCAAGTCTAAACTCTAGCACCAATCTCTAGGACCACAAAAAGAAATATAAAAGTATATCTAGTGACTGGTACCAGTGGCTCATGCCTATAATTCTAGCTACTCAGGAGGCTGAGATCTGATTTGTGGTTCAAAGCCAACCTGGGCAGGAAAGTCCATGAAACTTTTATCTCTCACCATAAAAGACAGGAAGTGGAGCTGTGGCCCAGGTAGTGCAGTGCTAACCTTGAGCAAAAGCTCAGGGACGGTGCTTAGGCCTTGAGTTTGAGTCCCAGGACTGCCATTAAAAAAATGTGCTCTTTAGTTAGCAGTATATATTCACAAATCCCTGATAGCCAAGCAAGAATTATAGTTATTTGTCACTCACCAGCTCTAACACCTTCATGAAAGTCATGATTTGCCTGAAAAAAAATTGAGATTAAGTGGGTCAATCTCATTCTTGGTGCTCTCCCCCTTCTGCGCCCCCACCCTCACTCCCGCCTCGCCCCATGTTCGCCTCTCACTCCCATGACCTGAACTGTGACATCCAGAGCCTGGACTACTTTCTAGTCTTTTTCCCTTCAAGTGTGTCCATTCGGCGTATTCTTGATCCTCCTGAGGCTGCTGGTCCTATGGCTCCCACCTGTGCAGGCTTCACTTCCCATCTATTTACACAGTCACTTTCCATAGAAATTGTCACCTTCTGCAAACCTTTCCCTTATACACTATCCTAGCAAAATCCTTGTACCAGCTGAGTACCAGAGATTTCAATTAAAACAAAGCACTGAAAACGACCCACAACCCGTCATCTCTCCCTAGTCCCCAAAGCAATTATTTATTTTCTACTTTCTCAGCTTCTGCCCAGGTGCACATTCTTACTATGTTATCATGTAAAGACTCACCATCCATTAACAAAAGGAAGTCCTCTGATGTGAAAATCCTACACGAACCACTAAAACACCTGCCACCGACCCTGGCCATTTGACTGCGTGGGAGGGGATTACCTCCCTCCTGTCTCAAAGACCAGGCCCTGCTGCAGATCCCCTTGTGCCCTCTTGGGAACTCTTCTTGATAAGATAATGTCTCAGTTCTCTGGACATTATGGAGTCAGCATAATTGAATGGCTGAGTATACACAGTTCAAATGTCTAAGTTCCATGCCAGTTGTACTGCAAGTCACTATGTTGCCTTGGTTAGTAATTTCTCTAACCCTGTTTCTTCATATGAGTAGCACTATCAATACACCAATCATAGGGTTTTAAACCATGAGGCAGCACAGACTGATTATGTGCTTAGTGTTAACTATTACAATCTTTTTCTCTATTGGATTATTTCCAGTCATTTATAAACATGCTGTAGTATCTTTGATCTTACACAATAAAACTCAGAGAATACCTATTTATTTCAAAAAGAAAAAGTTGTGTACCTGCTGTCTGCCCTTCCTCTTTCACCTCTTGCCTACTTCCATCCTCTTCAACTCACTGAAGTTTAACTTGGACCCCAGAGCTTCAATGTCATCAAACTTAAAGGATACTTCCCAACCTTACTTGCCAGACATTTTGCAATATTTGACACTATTTATTCACTACATTCCCCTCCAAACATTATGCTGTTGCCAGAACTTCTCTGGGCAAAAGCTTTAAACCCCCAGCCATAAGCCTCTCTCATTTATGTGACTTCATGCTCTTCTGATTCTCCTACCTGTCCTTTTGTTTTCTCTTCCCATCTTACTTTCTGTTCCTCACTTCAATAGGATAGACTTGGATTTCTCCCAGGCCTACATCTGAAATTTGCCTTCTGTATGATCATATCCAGACAGTGCTAACGCAACTGCCATATTGATGGCGTCTGGTCCAGTGTAAGATCAAAGCACGCCTGCTCAACACCATGTCATGTCTTCTCATTTTACACAGAACAGAACTTTCAGTCTTACTCATCAGGGCCCTATGTGTCCCACAGGGACCTTGCCCATACTGTTTGCTTGGATTCCAGCTCTCACCACCATATCCCCTCCATTCTTCTCCTAGAAGCTCTGCAGTTTCAGGCACTGGCAGGAACTCCTGCCTCAAAACTCTGTCCTGCAGTTCCCTCCACCCACTCTGAAACTTGCCTATTTCCCTTCCTATTTCTTTTCATCTTCAAAGAACTTTAGTGACGGTCTTTGTGAACATCAAAATCTTAGTGATGATAGTAATATGTCAGTTTTCTTTCAAGCTATTGTTAGCCCTGCAACATATTTATTTGTTGAGTTAATAAATTCTTTTCAAGAGCTCTTTTTTAAAGAGGGGGAGGTGTTTAACTATCCTTCAGACTTAAGTCTGAGCCAAGCTCCAAGCTCTAACTCCTAAATGAATCCTTTCCTTCCTATCAATCCTCATATCCTATCAATTCAGACATTTGCCTCATATCCATTGACTCGTGTCCTTTGGCACTGTGATATTCAACACCACTTCTAGCTCACACTGAGGTCACTGCAGCACACTCCTATCTGGTCTCTACATCCACTCTTAAACCCCTCCTGCCCTATCTCTACTGGCAGCAATAATTATCTACTTAAAAATGCAATCAAGTCAAATGGAAAAAATTAAACCATTTCCTCCTTAAAACCCAAAAAGCTACTCCATATTCTCACTTCTCATCTGTCAGGTCACAGGTGAGGCAGTGTCTCACAGCTATCAATGCTATGGTTTTATATCCGGTTTCCCTTTTGCCTCCTCAGCTTCCTCCAGCCTCTGTGATTCTCTTATTTCCAAGCTGTATGCTTCTTTAAGAATAATATATAGTTATTTTATGTATTTACACTCTCAGTAAATAGAACTCCATGAAAACAAAGGATTGGGTCTCTCTATTCCAACAACGTAAGCCCAATAAGAAGGCACTGCCACATAGTAACATCTGTGAGAGGGAAGTGAATTGGTCTATCTCAGCAGTGCACTAAAAGCACAGTCAATAAACTCCATGAGGCTCACAGGCTACTGGCTAACTACTATCAAGTTTACATGCCTTGTTTCTGCCTCACAATAGCTGAACAACCTCCGTTTCCTCATCTGTGAAACATAACAGTATCCATTTTCACAGACTTAATAGAGTAACTACCAGTAAATGCTCATAACAACCACTTAATAGAGCTTCATCTTCATGGACATCCTCCAAGGGGTGACTTTCAGACATGGCTTACGAGAGCTTTACTTCTCCCCAGATGTACTTTCCATATCTTAATAAGTATTTTGAAGACATTAAATCCATTAAAAATCTCCGATTTCTGATTATTAAATCAAATATTCCTCTTTGGTGTTGTTTATTAATATAAATAATGTGATGCTTTTCAAAGGCTCTACCACACACGCTGGTCTGTCTTTGGAAAGTTTAACATGTAGAAAAAGAAATGTTTCATGTGCATTTATTGTGCATTTATTGAATATGTATAAAATATGCCTAGTAACTATTATTCCTCTTTTTAACAATGAACTCAGATTTCCAGCACTTACTCTCCTTTGCCTATATTTGTTTTTGTTTGTTTGTTTTTTTGGGTTCGGTTGTGGGGCCTGAACTCTGGGCCTGGGCGCGGTCCCTCAGCTCTTCAGCTCAAGGCTAGCACTCTACCACTTGAGCCACAGCGCCACTTCCGGCTTTTTTCTTTTTGTTTATGTGGTGCTGAGAAATTGAACCCAGGGCCTCAGGCATGCAAGGCAAGCGCTCACCACTGAGCCACCTTCTCAGCCCTCCTTTGCCTATATTTGAAAAAATTATTTCTATTCTGAAATCTACATAAAGGCAGAGGTCTTACACTTACACACAAATATAATTGGTATTTCATAAAGGCTTACAAATAATCTAGAAGGCAATATTTTCACATACTTAACACTACCTGGCCTATTTTCTTTTCACAAAAGAGATTTATAGGTAACTCATTTTCTTGTTTATACTTTTTTTTGTTATACTTCCTACAAGGAGCATATATTACTATCCTAACTAGAAAGCCATAATTAATTAAAAAAAAAAAACTTACCATGCATGCTTGACTGAGCCGATATTCCATTGTTAGTACTTCCTGCAAGGTCTTTGAAGACCCCTCTATGAGTTGCCTTAGTGTGATCTTTAAGGACATTGGAGACATTTTACTAATGACCTTTTGGGGGAAAAATAGTAGTTGAAGACCAACAGTTCCTTTATTAACTATAATAAACTAGCTGACTTTCTATGTATGTTATATTAAAATACACCCTTTAATGTTATTTTTTGTGCAAGGTCTCATAAAAATTATATCTTAACATGATCCTGCCAAAGCACCAAACACATTTTCTAAACTGATACAGAAAAGGAAACAGATCATTTGGCAAGTGAAAGGAATTCTTTACCCATTTTTTAAAATTATGATCTCAAGTAGATAAGCAAACATCAAAAATTAATAGACATGTTACAAATCACTAATACATACAGAGGACACTCTGCTTTATATGTAGACAAAGGGTAGGGTTGGGAGAGATGGGGAGAATGATGGAAGAGATGACATTAAGATACATGTGCTCAAAAACGGACAGGTAGAATTGAAATCTCTTTTACAACTTCTGAAAAATAATAAATTAATAATAATAATAAAGAGAAGGGAGGGGAGGGGACAGGGGAAAGTAAAGTGAGGAAGGAGAAGGGGGAAGGGAAAGGGAAGGGGAAGGAGAAGGGGAAGGGGAAGGGGAAGGAAGGGGAGGGAGAAGGAGAAGGAGAAGGGGAAGGGGAAGGAGAAGGAGAAGGACAAGGGGAAGGAACTATTCTCCTCTCACTTTGTGACTCTGGAAAAGTACCTAAACTCAACTGGCTCAGCTAGAGTTAAGTCTACTTACCTTGGAGACATAAAAACAATTCATGTTACTACGAGGCACTGTTCTTCAGTTTAAATATTAAATAGGAATTTTATACATAGCTCCAATGCTGTGCCATTTGTTTTCAGCTTAAAGATTCTACTACCTGAGTTGCAAAACATGTGTATGATTGTGACTACTTTGCTGATACTAGAGATGTATACATCAATGCTTGCACTTTCATCAACAGATAGTCTTTTAGGCTATCTGTTGAATAAATGCCTCAGACTTAAATTTTATTTTATGAGTTCAAAGAATTGAGAAAACTAGGCTATTAGTTGTCTAGTAATTATAAATTTCCTTTAAACGGGAAAAAAAAATCAAATAGAATTGAGAAAGGGTCTCCCCTCCTCCCTCTCCCCCCCACCCCCCTGCAAGCCAGCCTGGACTGTGATCCTCCTACTCACACTTCCCGGACCACAATTCTCCTATTTACACGTCTGCCATGGCTAGAATTAAAGGAGATAGGATTGCAACTTTTTGCCCAGGCTGCTGACCTACTACCCACAATGAATGTCAGCTTCCTTTTATTTACTTATTTTTGTCAGTTGTGGGGCTTGAACTTAGGTCCTGGGCTCTGTCTCTGAGCTTTTTCACTCTACTACTTTGAGCCACAGCACCACTTCTGGTTTTCTGATGGTTAACTAGTGATAAGAGTCTCACACACTTTCCTGCCTGGGCTGGCTTTGAGTTATGATCTTCAGATCTCAGTCTCCTGATTAGGTAGGATTACTGGTGTGAGCCACCAGCACCCAGCCATCTCAGCTTCTTGAGTAGTTAGGATACCATGCCTGACTGGCCTTTACTTTTTAAAATGAAAAGATAGTGCTGATACTGACTTCTAAATAGAGACAATGAACAGGAAATGAGAGGTTAAGAACTAATTAAAGGAAACAAATTGATTTGTTCCCTATATAAATTAAAGGAACATGTGAAGGTGTAGGATAATTATAATTTACATGTGTATAATATTATTCTTCTCTGAGAAAAGCTATGATATATTTCAAATCTATTAACTTTCTATGAAATAGAACTTTCTAATCCCTCCAGTAAGAAATAAAATTCATGATTTCTAAAAACTTACTTCATACTAATAAAAATACTTCCAAGGGAAGAGTATAAGCTATAGACAGTAGCAATTTAAGCATTCAGTGTAGTGCTCACATTATACAGGTCAGAGGAAAAGATTCCCTGCACTATTTTCTGGACTCTGTAGTAAGTCATACAAATCTTACTCAACATATTAAGTTATAATTGTTTATGTGATTACTCTCTTTGACTTAGTTCTCCCAGGATTGGATTGCTTCTGTACTTCAAGTGGCCCAAACAGTACTTTGTCTACTTCCTCATCACACCTGTCACCTGACATTCTCTGTGATAAGATGCTAAAATACATAGTTAAGCAAACTCTGAGAAACTTATGGTCTGACAGACAGAATAGTAGGGGAGGAAAAACCAACAGGATCAAGACAAGCACATAGAGGAACACAGGCCTAATAAAATAACACTGCTATTGTATGATGGTTTACAACATCACCACCAAAACATTGAAAGCTGTGTCTGTCAGTTTTTGGGTCCGGTAGTGGGCCTGAACTCTGGGCCTGGGCGCTGTCCCTCAGCTCTTCAGCTCAAGGCTAGCGCTCTACCACTTGAGCCACAGCGCCACTTTCAGCTTTTTTTTTTTTTTTCTGCTTATGTGGTGCTGAGGAATCAAACCTAGGGCCTCATGCATTCAAGGCAAACGCTCTACCACTGAGCCACCTTCCCAGCCCCTGTCTGTCCATTTTTGTAAGGTTTAGGTGGCAAACAGCTCTTAGTTTTTGTCTTCAGGTTAGTGGAATTAAGTCAAAGAGAATCTGAAACCATATGTAATAAATCACATTAACTGTCATTTTAAAACCAAATAGTGAAAAAAGGGCTTTTATATTCTGGTCTGGTAAATTGATCTTTGATATTGAAAAGTTTAAATGAACCATAGCTAAGTATTATGTTTTGTTATGAGATGTGAATTTATTTCTAAATCACCATATACTTGTATCTGTAAATCTTCACCAGTACAACTCAATACAAACTCAAAACTACTTAAACTACAATAAACCAGACTTTCTGCTCACTGTATAGTGTAATTCCACAGAAACATTTATTCATCCGTTCCCTTGTTCAATTTGAGACAGTCTCACAATGCAGCCCTGGCTGGATCCTCAGAGTGCTGAGATTACAGGTATGAGTCACCACTCCAAGCTCAACATTTAAATTTAATGTATTTGTACCACTTAAAAATGTATGCAAAGTTCAAACAGCCCTCTACTTAAAGCACTACGTTATTTTAGATATAATGTGGGGGGAAAAAAGGTATTGAGCCAGTGTATTTTTAAAAATGCTTTCTGCAACCTTATTTCGAACTTCCCCGGTAACTTCTTAAATACAGGAATGGTTTAAATAACATTTGGCAAAGATGCCAAATACTTCTATTTCACAATATCCTAAAATGTTCATGATGGTGCTGAAGACATTAAGTGACTAAGTTCCACCAGCACACTGGAAAACGGTTTTCTCTTGTCTATATAAGTCAATGTCTTGTTCCCCTAAGGTTCACTCGTTTTCTTGACCGTGTCTTTCAAAGAGAAAAACTATTTAATTAAAAATCAACTAACTGGTTGTTTTCCTTTTGTTGTTCATATTTTTGTGTAAAAAAACGAACTGACAATAGAATTCATTTCAGCTGTGGATCTTACATCTATGTCTATAAACTAGTTTGAATTTTTGCATAGGGTGCAAGCTATATATTTTTACTTTTTTTCCCCTTTACATAGGGATATCCAACTGTTCCAAAACCCTTTGGTGAAAAGACTACTTTACCCCCAGTAAAGTATTTTAGGCGTCCAGAGCAGCCTTTTCTGTAGTCTGAAAGAAGGTGTGAACCTCTGGCTGATGGGAAGTACACTCACCCCAGCCAAGCCTTAATGAGCTGTGTTACTTTCTCAGCACATTGCCTTCCTGTACGTCTTCCCATGGTCTTGTGGAGTTCTGTCTGAGACATGCACAGATCAATATTCTGGAAATTCTTTGAGAAGGAAAGCTGACACCATCCCTATTACTCTTCTCTCAGGGATAAGGCAATTGCTTCACCTCTTTTCTTCACTTTTCCAGGTCTTTACACAGCAGGAGAAGGATTCCTACTACAGTTAATTCTTCATGAAGGACAGCTGCTGATTTACTTTGAACTAGCATACTCGTGAATAGCTCTCAAAGCTTACAGAAGGATTAGTAACCTTTTCAGCTTAATTTCTTTTTTTAGTATTTTGCTATTTCTTTTAAAAAAAATCCATGACCTAGCTATCATTCTTAGAGTCTTTATTTTTCCTCTTTTTTTTTTTTTTTACATAAATCTTGCAAAGAATTTTTGTCCCCTTTTTGTATGTTAACATCTTCAAGTATAAAACAGTTCCATTGACTCTTCCACAAAATAGGTACTTTAGGGGCTGGGAAGGTGGCTCAGTGTTAGAGTGCTTGCCCTGCATGCATGAGGCCCTGGGTTCAATTCCTCAGCACCACATAAGCAAAAAGCAAAAAGCTGGAAGTGGTGCTGTGGCTCAAGTGATAGAGTACTAGCCTTGAGCTGAAGAGCTGAGGGACAATGCCCAGGCCCAGAGTTCAGGTCCCACAACCAGACCCCCTACCCCCCAAAAAAATAGGTACTTTAAAATTAAACATAAATCTAACAGTTGTAACTAGAAAGAAGACAAAAATGTGAGATTTCTGGTGCTGAAAAAGGCATTTACATGCCCTCCCTTTAAGCCCTTCATCCAGAATGCAACAAGGGGCACACCCAAAAGACTGTAGGTAATGCTGGCTTCCTTGGCAGTACACCCCATGGGTCCAAGGCATGATCCTGCAATGCTAGCTACCTGGAAGGCTGAGACTGGAAGGATCATGGTGTGAGACTAGCAGGAGCATAAAGGTTCACAGGACTCCTTCTTACTCCTTCTTGACCAATAGTGAACATAGTGTCACACACACCTACCATCCCAGTGTGTGAGGAAGCATAAATAGGAGATCACAGTCCAAGCCTGTACTCAGGCAGAGAGAACCTATTTCAAAAAGAACCACTGCAAAAAAAAACAAAACCTGGAGGCATGACACATCTATAGAGTGTCCACTAAGCAGGCACATAAGACAATTAAATTTTTGTCAGTAAATTTCCTGAGAGCTGAAATGCTGTAGCTATATCTATAAATAGAATATCAGCAGATGAAGACAAACTAAAACTTCCTTTAAGAAAACAATAATACCTCAAGTTTCATAATCTTATGATAAATGAAGGTCGTAAATAGTAAATAGTAAGGGTGTACACATTTATATTAAAACAGCTTTTCCCTTGTTCTTACCAACTGAGTTACATTACTATTTAAAAGATGATTAAAAAGTCCCTAACTCTGAGAAATACTACTTAAGGCTCAGCTTTGGCTGTAGGTGGGTCTCTTTCTAGTTCAAATAGGATCACTTTTTCATGAACTCTCTTGCTTACAAATACCATATTCCATATTAAGCACAATTTATGGATTGATGTAATTGCAACATATCATTATGTGACTATCCCTCAGCTTCTCAACTTTTCTATTAAATATGGAACTAAAAGCTACTTCCAGAGAACAAGAAGAACTATTCAGAAATGAAACAGAGTTACTAAAGTCCTTCTCTGTTACATACAGAGGACATAAAATCAGCTCTCATTTGCCCTCAGCAGCTGGTGAGCAGGCATGGCAGTTGGGTTTGGTCATGGTTTGATGCCACTGCTGTCAGAGACTTCCTGTGTCGTTACACCCAGCAATGGCACCTCAGAAAAGCTTCTCTGTCTGGAGAATACACCATACTTGGGGAAGGAAGGGTCAGTTTATTACCTTCAACTGTTCTAGAGCAAAAGGTGAACCATCTTGTTGTAAATTTTCAATAATCTGCTCCACAGTATTGGCTGAAAAACAACTATTAAGAAAAAAGTGTGATTTTACCAAAGTGCAAGTGAATTCCTATCTCTAGGATAACAACAGATCTGACTGAACACTTCTCCCTAACCTGGTACCAATAATGAAGAATTATTTAGCCTGTTTTATAGGATAAGGAAATAGAAAGCTCTTTCCTTGTGAAGCTCTTTCCTTAGTTCAAAACAAAACTTAAATCTCTTTTCTTTTGTTTTTATTACATTGATGGACCTATGTGTGAATAAATATCTCACTGTGAAAAACTGATGCTTTTAAAATGAAGAGATGGAAAAATTATCTTCCAACAGTGTTTTTTCTTCCTTCCTTAGACAGTGTGCAATTTCTTACATCACTGCACACTTTTCCTGGCTGACTTAATAAGCTCTTCAGAGGAAATGACTTTACAAAGATAAAAACTGATTCAATTATTATTTTGTAGCCTCTTTCTCCATTTTTTAAGAAGTTATTCTGTGTTGGGTGCTGGTGGCTCATGCCTGTAATCCTAGCTATTCAGGGAGCTGAGATCTGAGGAATGCAGTTCAAAGCCGTCCTGGGCAGGAAAGTCCATCAAACTCTTATCTCCAATTAGCCACCAAAAAGCTAGAAGTTGAGGTACGGCTCAAATGGTTGATTGCTAGCCTTGATCAAAAACTATCAGGGACAGTATTCAGGCCCTGAGTTTAAGCCCCAGGACTGGCACATAGAAAAAACAAAGTTGTTTTGCATTTAAATGGATTAGTATAGAAGAATATTTAACTAGACAGTGATTACTTATTTCCCTTTCAAAGAGTTAGCAAGAAGGTTCTTCCAAGCTTACATAAAAATAAAAGCATTATGCTATCTGAACTCAGAATTTGCTACATAAACACAATATAATAAAAATGTTCGCAAATTCAATTGAACAGACTCTTTCCAAAGGAATATAGTAGATATAACTGAGTTATAAGTACCTGTTTATTCTGTCCGTATGTTCCTCAAGTATAAAAGACTTGTCTTGATCAGTCTTGCACTGTTTAAAAATAATTTGAAGAAATTAAAACTGCTTTAAATGCTCCAAAATTTCCTACTTAATTATACACTTTGTAACAGATTATCACTTTCAGTAAAATTACATCTAACACTCTCATAAATAACTACCACCATATGCTCAAAATTCAGACAGTATGTATACAGTATTCTAGACTGGTTCTTGTATCTTTATTTAAATATTAAAATTGATAAACTATTGTGTAAACCCAAGAACTTAAGAGATCTGAGAGGTCACCCTGACACATCCATTTAATCTACCATTCCCGGTGTCCCTGCAAGCTCTGACCTCCAGGGATAGAAAACAGCACCCCAGGAAGGTGCTCCCAAGTGCTTGGCAATACAGTAACTAGGCCTCTGTTGGTTTAATCCTGGGCCAAAAGTCTGTCTTCTAGACTTTCTACTTTGATTTAATCCCTTGATTACCAAAATTGTTTCTCATATAACACAGCTGTGTGTATCTTCACAATCCAAGTCTTCTTCATGAACATGTCTCAGTTTACCAAGGTCATTCTTCACTGCAGGTGATGCAGAATCATAACACAGTACAATACTGGATACAAGACTTTCACTAAGACAACTGGCTCTGGGTTTGGGGAAGGCCTATTGTAGAACTTATTTGCACGGACCTCCAATTAATTAAGATTATTTAGGAAAAAAAATCAGTGTGTGGTAGAGCTCCCTTATCCTGTACTCATGAGTACAGTACTTTGGATGGGTCTCTCTTATAATTTTATATGTAATGCCAACCACAGTTATCAGTTGTACATTGCATTATACAATCTGATAAGTACCTGGATGCATCATTAAGGGGTCCATGCATATCAATGGTATACAGTATTTCTTTTCCTCCCAATGTATTACTTGGGAGTGGGATGATATGCATTTGGTTCTTCAGGCCAGGTGGTCGAGGGAGGTACAGGTCTTCTTGATATACACGCTCCAATTCTTCTCAGTAGAGCACCACACCTACTCCTGTTCTTGGCTAGATCTGCTGGACTTTTGCAGTTCTAACTGCTGATTTTTTAAAAAAAAATTAAACACAATCTTCTTATCATCCTTCCTCTCCTTTTCCTTTCAGTAGATCTGGAGACAGAACCTAGGACCTTGCACAGGCTAAGTAAACACTCCACAATTGACTACAATTTAGCTTTAGCCCAACACCTGCACACATCTTCAGAGATTCCTGGCTCTTCAGAAGGGCTGAGAGCAGGAATCAGGTTACTTCTTCCTGGCTTCAGCACTGAAGGATGATCATAGCGTTTGCAGGTCTAAGTTAACTACCGAAGGCCTTCTCCTTGCAAGCTTTCATTATAGACATCTCATTTCTGTTGTCATCTCATTTTCCCCTTTCATTGCTCTATTATAATTTTAGTTCAGTTTCAGGGGAAAAAAGCAGATAGTTAGAAACTACATGTTTTTATAGATACTTGGCTTCTATATAAAGGAACTCAAGTTAGGTAATGTAAGGAATTAAATCCTGTAATACATTTTATTATTAAAGATTTAAGAGTTTTATTTTAGTAATCGCAAAAATAATGTGAACACTGGGCCTCCAGTACAAAAATGCAGTGTGTTGTAAAAATCCCTTCCAAGGCTAATCACAAGGCAAGTTGTGCAGCTGCACACTAAAATGTCATCTTTTCAGACAGCAATCCTAAGGAGTGTGGAGGGCTGACCCTCCCTCCATGCTTTAAAGTAAAAAAATTCCCAGTACATGTATAATGTTTCTCAACTATTAATTTTTTAATCACTTTTCTTTCCCCATAAATGAAAACCTTCAGGTTAGAACACTGACAAGATTACCTCCGCATGGTAGGTTGCTAAGACATTTGCAACATTTTTTGCTGAAGGAGATTTCAAGGCTAACAAATCTTGCTCTAACATGGACATCTAAAGGGGAGAAAAGGAAAACAGATTTGAAACACCATAAAAACACAGAAAGCTTTTCTTCTCTTAATTATTTTATGATTTTTATTTTTGGTGGTCCTGGGGTTTGAACTCAAAGCTTCCTACTTGTTAGGCTGAGAGATATCTGAGCCCTGGCACCAATCCCGTCTTTTAGACAGGGTCTTGCATTTTCTCTCAGGCCATCCTTGGATCTTGATACCCCTCCCTGCACCTCCTGAGTAGCTGGGACATCAGGCATGAACCATCACACCTAGCTTGTTTGGTTTTGCTTTTTTTCCTTTTGAGGGGATAGAGTCTTGCTAACTTTTTTCCTGGGCTGGCCATATACTGAATCCTCCAGAGCATTGTCTCCTGAGTGGCTGGATTACAGGCATTAGCCACCACACTGGATAAAAGCTTTTTGATAGAATTCTTAGAATTCTTGTCTAAATTTATGATACTCTGTTTTCAGCTGGGTCATTGAAATAAACTGGATTGAAGGCAGCAAATGCTGCCTTGGAAGGAGTGAACCAAGATGGTTCTGAAATCCAAAACATTTCTGGTCCCAAGCATTTCAGATAAAAGATATCCAAAGTATATTGCAACCAAAGGTCTGACTTACAAAATTCACCACATGACTAGTGGCTACTCTGCTCCCTGCCTAACACCATATACAATCCACTTATCTTTCTATTTTCTTATATACCTAACTTACAACTAAATGGGACCATTCACTATTTTCAAAATAGCTGAGGTTTTCCTGTCCTTGTTTTTTTTATTCTATGTGGAATGCTTTTTCCTGACAATACACACCCTAACATCAGTAAACTGCAACCTGTATGAAACAATTCTGGTATTTTCTTACAGGAAAGCTCTTCTTTTTTTCATGCACTATCCTTAATGTGTACCACTCTCTTTTTTTATTTATTATAGGCCCCCAAATGGGCCATTTACCTGCTACAGACACTATCATTGGACAAGCTGAAGAAAAGTGAGAACTATGCATCAGCTCTCTCTCTTATGCTAACTAACTAAATCCACCATATTAAGGGTGTCCCCAGAGTGGACAGTGGAGGGCCCACATTTGCTAAGGGTAAGGATCAGACAGTTGCTTACTCCGTGTAGCTAAGGACAGGCAAAACATGGAGAGAGATCTGAAATTTCAGCCAAATAGAGGGGCCTTGTAACAAATGTACACTTCGCACATTTTACAGGATCTATAATAATGTGAGAAAAATCTAAGGCTCATTAAAATAAAAAATGTTCACTGCCAATTTATAAAGTTCGTGAAGAGAATTCTATTAGCATCCAAACAATGCATTTTATACTATCTAAATGTTTTAACTTCAATGGTAGGCCAGGGGGGATACATGAGAGTAAAGAACTTAATCATTTGTTAGAAGCCTTTAGAGATTCATATAATAGTCCAAAAGTCAGAGTAATCTCTAGTAACAAAATAATTAAAATTTGGATTCTTTCTTTTTTGTTGTTGTTGTTAGCCAAGGGGCTTGAACGTAGAGAGTGGGTGCTGTCCAGGAGGCTAGCACTCCATCATTTTGGGCCACAGTGCCACTTCTGGTTTTCTTGTGGTTAATTGGAGAGAAGAGTCTCAGGGACTTTCCTGCCCAGCCTTAGCTTTCAACCTTGATATTCAGATCTCAGCCTCCTGAGTAGCTAGGATTACAGGAGTGAGCCACCAGTGCCAAGCTGAATTCTTAATATATGCCAGTTACTGCACTACGCATGTAACATAAATTTTCTAATTCAACTTTTATAATAGTCCTTCCACTATTCTAAATGCCATGTCCTCAAGATCAGATATTCATGTGAAGACTATGTACTTCCTAGGAAGTAGATTTCACCCCATAGCTCCACAGATAGAGACCATTACACAGGACAGGCCCGCCAGCTGGTGCACACACTTATGTGGTTCAGAGGTGAGGTAAGCCAGTTCATCAAGAAAAAAACTAAGCCAGAGGAAGTAGAAGAAATCACAGATCTTTGTCTGAGACTCTGGGATAAAATCACCTCACATTATTTAGCTCTTCCTGATATTACATATAATATAAGAAGCTTGAACTATGATGATAACACTAATACCTCATTTTGGAAGCCAAAGTTAAATTCAAGAAAGCCCTATCTATCGGCCTACTCTTCATTACTATCCAGTGCTAAGAACATTGGCCATCTAGTTAGAAAAAGAAAATGATGAAACAAAACAGACAGATAAATAACATGCTATCTTCTTGAAGCAAATATGCTTTAAAAAGTCACAAAAACATATTTTGTAATGCAATTATATGAACTGCACTAAGGAAACTTAGAAACAGAAGAATTCTTCAAGAATATTCTTACAGGAAGTAGCCTGTTGGCTGAGGGAGAGCGCCCAGGCCCAGAGTTCAAGCCCCACAACCAACAAAAAAAAAGAAAGAAGGAAGGAAAGAAAGAAAAGGAAGGAAGGAAGGAAGAAAGTAAGAAAGAAAGAGAAAGAAAGAAAGAAAGAGAGAGAAAGAGAGAAAGGAAGGAAGGATATTCTTACAAAATAAAAGGTTCCTTTCATTTTACAGAGGGAAACTGAGAATCAAGATGCTTACACACTTTCTCTCAGAAGGTCAAGGATTCACACACACACATCTACCTTGGGGTCTCAACCACTCATAACATTTTCCTCATACAAAATAAACACCCAGTTACCTTTCCAGAATCTACAAAGTGTGTGGCAATTCCTGCTCTGTACACATCTCTTCCTTTTAGTCTGAATCCTGTTAATGCAAGAAAGTAGCCCAGTTTTCCTGGAAGTCTTGGCAAAAAATAACCTCCACCCACATCAGGGAATAGTCCTGTAATTAAATATAAGAAAAAGTGATTAACGATGACTCAGATAAAGATGAACATACATTTTTTGTTTACCTATTCATTTCTCTCTGAAGTTCTCATCAATATGGCAAAGAGTATTAAACTAGGTACTACACAGTATAACCAGTACAAAGAACTTGCTATAAATTGTGCTAAATTAGTATTAACACTTTTCAAAATCTGCTTATTTCATGTAGAAGTCAATAAGCTGTCATATGGCACAATATTTTGCATAGTATAAGTAATCAATAATGCTACCTAAATTTTCTTATCACTAATTAATATAATACATATAGTAAAACATTCAATCCAAGGACTATTATATTATATGCAAATTACCATTTAAATCACTATTAAGTTCATGATTAAGTTCTCTAAACTTAATTATGTAATATTGTAGATGAAGACTGATACAATAACCATTACTTCTATTGAATGAGCAAGTTCCTAAGTAATAAAATCTTTTGCACTTGTTCTTTTCCTAACTGGCAGCATAAATATGAGCATAAATCTTTAAATTCTTTCTGGTTCTACTTGCCAAGAAATTCCTAGAATTAAAGAGTAAATAGAATGCTACTGAAAGTGGAGATCTTAGTACATCAAACCAGAAGGTCTGAAGTTGAACCAACCTCTCCCTAACTTCTACCATTACTCACCTCCACAAAGAGAACAACCATCCAGCCTGGCACCCATTATCCTCACCAGAACCTACAACATCCTACTGATTACCCTCCAGAGTGATCTTTTTCAAACACAAATCTTGATCAGATTCCTTGCATTCAACTCCTTAAAACCTTTCCATGGTTTCCCTTAAATTAAAACAATCATGCTTACCAATTCAAAATCTTCCAGGACCTATTACACATCTAACTACTCAAGATACTCCAGTCACTCAGCTTTGTTTTTAATTTGTCCAATCTGTCTAGGGGTTCAGCTTGGCAGTGTACTGCCCAAGTGAAAACACCCTCTTATCCTGAAACATACTCTCTTCTAGGTCATTATATTCTCCCAATTACCCTTGCCTCCACGACCAGTGGCTGTTTTTTCTACTTTCCCTGGCTGGCTCTTCCTCTTTTGACTGTCAAATGTTACAGAGTCCAAGCTTGATATTAGATGACTTCCTCTTCCCTGAGTTTACATTTTCCTTAGATCTTCTGGCTTTAAGTAACATCTACATGCTGAGTAGTCTTGTTATAGACTGAACTGTGTCCCTCCAAAATTCATATATCCTTCCAATATTCATAACTACAATATGGTTATTCACAGACAGAGCCTTATTAAGTATGGCAGCCTAGCAAATTATTCACTGCTAAAACCAGTTACGCTTTTCCCCTTGAATATCACACTCTTACATCTGCCTTGTAGGTAAAACTATAGCTAATAAGTATCTCCTAAACCACATGCTGACACTACAATGCACCTTCCTTGATCAGCCTTAACCATTGAGTAGCACAAATAAATACTTGGGAGTCATCTAGGATTCCATGTATGAGTGAGCTAGTTAACTCCCGTAATGTTTTCCAAGGCTATTCCTCCTATTCAAGGCTATTCCTCCACACTATTTCAAACTGGAATTTCCTTTCTCTAGCTCCGTGCTGTCCAGTACAATGCTGTGCTGATAAGAATATTCTGCTGTCCAGTGAGGTAGTCACCAGCCGTATGTGGCCATTAAACAGATGAAATATGGGTGATGCAACTGGAGAAGTTTTACTTAAAAGTTTAAATTTGCAATGTGTAGCTAGTGGCTAAGTACCAGACACTGTAGTTCTAGCTTGGTGTAAGGACCTCCTAACCAATCTCATTGTTAATATTAGGGCACCTTTACAAGACATTATCTTCAAAGCACCAAATGGTGGTCTAAAAGTAGAATCGAGACTGTGTCACTCCCTACTACACAAATCTCCCATGGTTTCTTACCAAACTCACTGCTGGAAGTGGCTGTGTCTCTTCAAGAGCATATTCCATCACTCTTTCCCTAGATTCAGACCCACTTACACGCATTTGATTTGCTGAAAAGGTTCATTCTCACCTTTGGGTTTTGGAGCCAACTTTTCTCAATGCCACACATTCTATTCTCAGGCCTTACTTAAACTAGCTCCTTCCTATCATTTCCTCAGCTTGTCTCCGTAACCACCCAACCTAACATGACCATCCAGAAAAATTACACCATGGGCAAAACAGTCTACCAAGGACCATGGTTACATCCCTGCTGAAACAACTACCAAAACAGACACATGGCAAGTATGGTAGCCCACACCTCTAATCCCAGCACTTGAGAAGCAGAGCAGGGGAAGCATAAATTCAAGGCCAGTTTGTACTACATAGTGAGATGCTGTGTTAAAAAACCCAAGGGTGCCATGAGCCTGTGGCTCACACCTATAATCCTAGCTACTCAGGAGGCTGAGATTTGAGGATCGTGGTTCAAAGCCAGACTGGACAGGAAAGTCTGTGAGACTCTTATCTCCAATTAATCACAGAAAAAGCCAGAAGTGGTTCTGTGGCTCAAAGTGGCAGAATGTAAGACTTGAACAAAAGGAGGCCAGGGACAGTACCCAGGCCCAGAGTTTTGCCCCAGGACTGGCAAAAAAAATAAATAAAACAAAACAAAACAAACAACAGAAAAAAACCAAGGGTTAGAAATACAGCTAAGGAGTAGAGTGCTTGCCTAGAATCTGCAAGACCTTTGGTCTGATCCCTAGAACCACAAAAATATATAAACCAATGTGCACACTGCACATCAGACAATAAAGGAAAATAATCTCTAAGTATCAGAAGACAAGCAAAGTACAATAGCTCCAGTTTAATGCCTTGGGAGTTTCCAGGCCTGGCATAATCCTTCATTTGATAAATGAAGTTAAGAATCCAGAGAGACCCGGGCATCTAGAATTACCAGAAAAGTGTACTAAGGAGGAGATTGCAAGAGAGAGTGCAGCAGAGAGAGAGGAGAGAGAAACAAAGACAGGAGGAGAGAGGGAAGACAGAAGAGAGAAAAGAGAAGAAAGAAGAGAGAGACAGAGAGAGAGACAGAGAGAGAATATGAACTCTGAGTATCTGAGAAATGGGCAATACATGTGCATGAGACAACTTCATGAGACTAGGAAAAGATTAGAAGAAACTGAACTGGAAATCCACAGGAAGGCTGAGACAATGAGTTTCCCCACTAGTCAGACTAGCAAAAGTAATCATTCATAGGCACTGGACAGACAGCTGATGATGCCTGGGGGGAAGATGAGGAGGGTAATAATTAATTAGCATTCACATCAGCACTGCTCCAATTTTTCAAACAATAACAATAAACAAATCCAAAGTAGATGAAAGGAACAAACTGCTTGTAAGTAATTATGAAAACTTTCTGGTATTTTACCTAGTCCTGTTTCTGGCATTGCAAAAACAGACCGTTCAGTAGCCACTCGGAATTGTCCATGAACTGAGAGACCAACTCCCTACGGAAATAAGAAAAAAGATTTTGGCTTAACAGTATTGCAGAAATTAAAAGCATATACCCACAAATATCATAAAGCAAATAAAATATATTTATTTCCCACCAGAATGTGTTACAAAGGATAGGTTGGAGGAAAGCACTAAGCCACAAAATTTCAAATGAACTCTCTGAATGAAAAACATAAGGAATCCTTGATATTTGAAATTGATCTGTTGAAACCATATACTCTTTGTCTCTTCCCTAACTCTGTCACTTCAAAATAGATGCAGTTTAAGACATGGTAATGGGGCAAAGTGAGTGTAATCAGAGTATATTATATGCACATGAAAGTGCGGTGATGAAATTCATTAACACATGCCAAAAAATACTGACTCTGCCTGGAACAACTTAGTGTTGTTTATTGGCGGCATAAATAATAACCATCACAAGCTAGTCCAATAAACATATGTTGAACCTATCTTATTTACTTACATATTTGATCACTTTTCTCATAACACTTCATGAGGCCTTAAAATCAGTTACTAAAAGATTTGACTGAGAATCTACTTCAAACTTACATGTTATTTAAAAAGGTATGTATTATTATCGTCTTATGAGGAGTCCATGAAGACAAAGTTCATAAGCTCGAGCTTGCGCTTATCCCTGTAATTGCCTGCATTATTATATTCTTTCTCCTCACTCAGAACTTCTTATTCTTGTAGTTCTTCTCATTCTTAATTCTTTTGAACCACTACTCTATCACTGACATCACAGAGTAAAGTAAGTTAAAACGTGTATTTGCTCTCAATAGGAGTTTGGTAAACGTTAGCTAAATATAAAGGGTTTCAGTTCTATTTGAGTCTTCTAGTTTTTCAATAAAACCACCTCAGTTCAAATGCTTTCATACTCAGTCACGTGCAAATTGTTAAAACTACCAAGCCTTTCTTTAAGAAAATACTTAGACATATACATAATTTTGCATAAACTTTTTTGTGCTATTACTACTTAAAATTTAATAGAACATGTTCATAAGCATGGAAATGAATAAAATTCTTTGGTCACTACATCTTTTATGGCCACCACCTATCAGTTATATCTACCATATTAGAGTCTCCTTATAGAGACAGCAGAATTACGTTTTAGGTACTATGTTAGGACACAGTCAACTGAAAATATTAACCCCAATGAGACTGTACATACTTTATAATGAAATCTCACAATTCTTATAAAAATAAAACACTAGTTACACTGATAATTTCCTTATATTTGGGAGGAAGGGTGGCTCTGGGTTTGGACTTAGGGACACTTGCCAGGCAAATGCTCAACTGGTTGAGTCATGCTCAGCTCTCTTTGTTTTAGTTTATTTCTCAGTTAGGGTCTTGCACATCGTCCAGTGCTTACCTCAAACTGTGATGCTCTATTGCACAACTCCTCCACACCATGTGTACCTCAGATTACAGGCATACACCACCATTCTCAACTTGTTTTATGATACAGGGTCTCCATAACTCCCTTTCACCCCTAGGCTGGTCTCAAACCACAATACTCCTTTTTGTACCTCCCATCTAGATAGATGTGTTTACATGTCTATACCATAACACTTGGTTCATCTATATTATTTTAAGAGCCCTTTCCTTGCATTTTATTCTCTACTTTTCAGAAATGTATTGCTAAGAATTTATAAGAAAATGTTGAGTTAGATCAGCAGTTTTTCAGTTGTGTTCTATGGATCCTAGGATTCAGAAGAATTGCCTCACAGCTAGATCTCTAGGTCTTAACAATCAATACTGCCTCTGCTCTAATCCTTCTCTTTACCTCTCCCTACTCTTTTTTAAAAATGTATTTTATTGTAAAGATGCTGTACAGAGGGGTTACAGTTACATGAGTAAGGTAATGACTACATTTCTTGATGAACATTGTTTCCCCCTGCTTTGTTTTTCTCCTACTATCCCTTCCCTTTCTCCCCCACTCCTCCCTCCCCAACCCAAGTTGTAAAGTTCATTTCCAACATAGTGTCTTGTGAGTATCATTGTTGCACTGTGTCCTTGTTTCAGTATTTTGTTATTCCCCTTCCCCTCCCCAAATTTAATTAGCTATGAATTCCACAAACAGTACATGATTATCTTACATTTGGAGAAAGTACAACACTGGATAAAAACAAATGAAAAGGAAGTATGTGGCCTATACACTTAGAAATTCCTTTTATATTTCCTCTCACAGCTTCTGCTAGGTTACTAATATCTCAGCTAATGCATTTTTTTCATTTCTTAAAAGAATTTTTAAAGTGACTATTTTTTTAAAGATTTAAAAGATGTGGGATTGGAGTGGGAGAAGTTCAAAAATTTCCCTAAAAAGCTTAACTGAGTTCATAAAATTATTTCATCCCTTCTTTCAGGTTTCATTAATCCCTAGATTCTATTAAATGCTTTTAAGAAAAACCTAAATGTATGCATTATCCTGCCCATGTAATTGTAACCCCTCTGTACAGTATGTTCTCAAATAAAATAAAATTAAATTAAAAAAAAAAAAAAAAACCTAATACTTCATGACAATATAAAGAAAGCTTTCTTATTTTCAATTGTCATTAGCAGTAGCAAAGTCACTTCAAACCAAAGAGTACCAATTCTAACAAACCTTTGCAATACATTAACATATTTTTATCTTAGAGGATTGTTCATTCTTTTCATAATAAAGGACATGTCTCAAGTAACACTCATCAGTAGCTAAATATAATCTGATTGAAAAGCTCCCATTTAATGGCTCACATTCCATGTGGTTGGTCTATGTCCTATAAAACCATTTGGGAACCATACAGGCTCACTGTTTCTATTCCCACTACCATTTCCCAATCAATCACAACATACAGAAAAAAACATACAGAAAGAAAGAGTTTAGCCACAAGCCTAGCTAGCTCCATTTTGTCCCTTTCTAGCTCTATTTGGCCTCTAACTTTTTGCCTTCTGAGTCTTTCTTCTGAGTAACAAAACCAGCAGAACTGATGGGTAAACATCTTTATGACAAGGGACTGAAATCATCCCCAAAGTATGGTGAGACTTGTAGAATATATCACCCCAATATAACTTCCCCAAACCAGAACTAAGACAATAACCAAGTAGTCCACTGGTTTGGCCAAGATGACCTGTGCTAACCTCTAACCCCTAGCTTTGTTTCCTTTGCTATACAACTCAAAATTCCTGTCAGCTCCTTGGAAACAGACCTGGGGTCACTGAACCCCTTTCATCTTCCCAAGGTGATCATTGACTAAAGCTCCTTTCTTGCTCTCCAGCACTGCTCATCTCTTCTGCATGTGGGGATAGGTGGCCAGCTTAGTCTGTTGACAGTCTCAGAGCTGAGCTTTATCCCTGTAACAATCCCCTTCCTAAAACATACTTTCCAACTATTTTCATTATTGATCATGAAAAAAGGGTAAAAATTATTTTCTTCTGCCCTTCTGAGTTTTTAGCTGGGACCTCCATTACAGAAGACAGGTCAATAAAGAGAGAAAATAAGCAGGTGTTACATGGGAGGTATAAATAGGAAAGTTGGACATCTCCAAGAAGCAGCCTAGAACTCTAGTTTATATAGTCTCTTCAACTAAAGAAAGATATAGGGAGATTAGTTATAGGAAGATGTCCAGGAAAAGGATGGAAAACAAGAGTCATGTTTGTTTTACAGGATAAACATTGGTGTCTTCTACACAGGTAGGTATTTCAGGTGATGCAGGCATCCCTCTCCTAGAGGGGGGGAGAGAGAGAGAGAGAGAGAGGTGGGGGGGGTTGAGAGGAGGGAGGGAGGGATGGAGGGAGGGAAGGAGGAAGGGAGGGAGGAAGGAAGGGAGGGGGAGGGAGGAAGGGAGGGAGGGAGGGAGGGAGGGAGGGAGGGAGGGAGGCAGAAAGACAGACAGACAGAGAAAGAGACTCCCTTACAAATACAGATTTTTCTTATGGTGTAACTTTCCTTAGAAAAGGATAACTTGTACAGTTTTCAGAACTTTTCCTGTTCCTACTGTTTCTCAAATAGTCCTATGACAAAGTGATCTATTGGGTGTGTCATATCTTGTTTGTCTACAATCGCAATCCTTCTGTTAGTACCAACTTAAAGGTACTTTGAGAAACACAAAAACAAGTCCACCTTATACCCATAATTTGAGTTGCCTTGGAGGAGTCAATACTGTCTTCTTTATAAAATTTAAAGGTGGGGGGAAAGTTGGAGGAGGGAAACAGCTTTTCTTTAAATCCAGTTCAGTATACATAACTTCAAAAACTGCTTAAGGGCTGGGAAGGTGGCTCAGTGGTAGAGCGCTTGCCTTGCATGCATGAGGCCCTGGGTTCGATTCCTCAGCACCACATAAGCAAAAAGAATAAAAGCTGGAAGTGACACTGTGGCTCAAGTGGTAGAGCGCTAGCCTTGAGCTGAAGAGCTGAGGGACAGCGCCCAGGCCCAGAGTTCAGGTTCCATGACCGGACCCCCCCCCACCCCAAAAGAAAAAACTGCTTAAAGGGAAAGCCAACAAATTTAATTATTTTTTTTCTTGGAAAGAGAATGAAGTATTATTTTAAGTATCTCTCTAGAAACAAATACACTAAAATGTCATAATTTTACATAACTTTGATCAACTATGTAGAGAACCACTTAGTAACATTCATTGTTATTTTACTATATAACAAAATACTGAGTATATATTTGAATTTCAGAAACCTGAAACAATAGAATATAGCCTTCTCCTCCATAAAATGCAGTGTGATGGATAATGAAACAGGAAAATAATGCTGGAGAAAAATACTTTCTACAGGAAAAAAAAAAAAAGTGGTGGGGTAAAAATGAAGTTCTGTAGCGCCATCTTTTGGACTGCTAAAATTGCTACATTAGAAGAAAGAAAATTACTGACCAAAATCAAAACAATCATTATTCATACTTTTTATTAAAGCCTATTTTACCTGTGTTCAGTTTGTTAAATTAGCTGGTTACCAGTCTGTGTCTGTATATTGAGTACCTGTGCAACAAACTATAACAAAACCCAACCTTAATATACTTTAGTAAGCATCTATGTTTCAGCCAATCACAGGAAACCAACTAATTAAGACCATGCCCAAATGATGCAAATTTTACTTTTCCCCTTAGCTCAGTCTACAAAAATTATCTGCTTTTGCTGCCAAGCTGAGCTCATGAATGAGTGCTGTCTGTCCATGAGATTTCTTTGCTCATTCCACTCAAAGCATTGTAAAAAGTATTAATTTGTAGAATTCTGACTAGAAGGGCTGATATAAAGTATACTTTTACTTAGAAAGTTATTCGTGCACTTTTCAGTAAATACAGAAAGAAAACCAGTGGGAAGAAGATTACACTTATTCAGTTCTACTCAAGATATCTGAGATTGCTATGTTCTTGTTGGGTTTCTTTCATGTTTAATTGGGGCCACGTTTTCTTACATGCTATTGGTTATGCTCATTGCTTTTGCTTTCATCTTTTCCTCATTCCTTATATACCCACAAAGCAGTTATACATCAGTACTTCCAGTTATTTCTTTTCCCCTGTTCTGAAGAACTTTCTTCATACAGTATTTTATGTTTATATCTCTTTTCTTGAAGCAGGGCCTCATTACGTAACCCAAGCTTCCACTTCCCAAGTACTGGGATTATAGGCGTGAACCACCATTACTGGCACTCCGGAGCTTTTAATATCCCTAAGTTAGCACTTCCTTGAAAATAGAAGAACAACAAAACCATGGACAGTATCTACCAACTGGAAGACAGGCATTGCCTGCTCTTGATGATGCTTTCTCACTAGACAACTGCTAGTAGAATTTCTTTCCAAATGATGTGCAAGATCTAAGCCAATTCTTGGTACCCAAGAGGCTTCACTGAAGGTGGTTTTACAAGAGTAAGAGGAGAGACTTCTTCCTTTCTAAATAACTAAATCTCTGAAATATTGAGTCAGTAGAATTTTTAGGACTTCACCCACTGATCTTGTACAACCTGTATACCTAAGTCCTATCTCTTGTACATATTTTAGAGGTCATTATCTGAATTTCAGCCCTTCTGAAGTAGGGCTGGTACCAAAGGAATTCTCTGGTCTATCTCTACTAAAAGCACTTTGTAACACCCCTATGTGAAAGGCCTGCTTTATGCCCAGAGAAAACAGAATGGAATGTTAGAGTGGCTGAAAAGAATCTGTACAAACAGGCCTTCCTAAATTGCCTCTAACTTATTACCATTGGATCATATCAATCTTGTCCATCCATTCTTTTACTCAGCCATCTGTTCTGCATTGAAAATAAATATTAAGGGGCTGGGAAGGTGGCTCAGTGGTAGAGCGCTTGCCTTGCATGCCTGAGGCCCTGAGTTCGATTCCTCAGTACCACATAAGCAAAAAGAAAAAAGCTGGAGGTGGCACTGTGGTTCAAGTGGTAGAGCACTAGCCTTGAGCTGAAGAGCTGAGGGACAGCGCCCAGGCCCAGAGTTCAGGCCCCATGACCAGACCCCCCAAAAAAATTTTTTAAAAAAAAAGAAAAGAAATATTAAAGTACAGTTTCATTTAGAAGTTCCTGTGACACTGTATAGCTTTGACAAATAGATGTGTCCCTCTTGACCATCTTCAAGCAGCATCAGCCATGATGGCTGGATCAGAATGGAAGTTACTTTTTCTCCTCCACACCATCCTTCTAGGATCAGCTCAATCCACCAGCCTCACCACGTAGCCCCCTTTCTGACTACTCTCTTCTTTAAAGGATTGTCTTTGTTATACTCAGGATCATCCAATTCACCACTTGTTCTAAAATTATTTCATGTTAGCCAGTTAGATTTCTGTATAATAACAGAGGCAAAGCAAAAATGATTTGTCAGTTGGTTACCTACTTGTAGAAAACTAAAGCTAGATCCTTATATCACCCTGCACCAGAATCAACTCCAAATGGATCAAAGACCTCGGAGTCAAAGCAGACACTCTGAAAACATTACAGGATGGAATAGGAGAAACCCTAGGTCTCCTTGGCTCAGACCAAAATTTTCTTAATAGAGACCCCAAAACACAACAAATCAAAGAAAGGTTGGACAAATGGGATTGCATGAAATTGCAGAGCTTCTGCATGGCAAAGGACATAGCTAGCAAGATCAATAGAAAGCCCACAGATTGGGAGAAGATCTTCACTAGCCATACAATGGATAAGGGTCTCATATCTAAAATATACCTGGAACTCAAAAAATTAAATCCCCCAACTACAAATTCTCAAAGAAACCACTGCCCAATAAATAAGTGCACTAAAAACTTAAAGAGAAACTTCTCTGAAGAGGAAAGAAGGATGGCCAATAGACACATGAAGAAATGCTCAACCTCCCTAGCCATAAAAGAAATGCAAATCAAAACAACATTGAGATTCCACCTCACCCCAGTTAGAATGGCTATAATCAAGAAATCTAATAACAACAGATGCTGGAGGGGATGTGAACAGAACGGAACCTTACTGCATTGTGGGTGGGAGTGTAAAATTGTTCAACCACTTTGGAAAGAAGTATGGAGGTTCCTCAAAAGACTCCACATAGAGCTCCCTATGACCCAGCAATCCCAATTTTGGGCATTTACCCAAATGATCACAAACAAGACCATACTAAAGCTATGAGCACAACTATGTTTACTGCAGCTAGATGAATGTTTACTATGTTTACTATGTAAACTATGTTTACTCAGTAGATGAATGGATCAAGAAAATGTAGTATATATACACAATGGAATTCAATGCCTCCATCAGAAAGAATGACATTGCCCCATTTGTTAGGAAATGGAAAGACTTGGAAAAAATTATATTAAATGAAGTAAGCCAGACCCAAAGAAACATAGGCCCCATGGTTTCCCTTATTTGCAATAACTAGTATATGTCTGAGTCAAGCAGAAAAGGTCAGATAAGCTGATGTTAGGTGAAATGAACCCTAAGACAAGTATTTAAATGTTTTTTTTCTTTTATGTGATTGTTTCTAACATATTTATAAGATGTTTCTATGTTGCTTTGTATGTCCCTCCCCAACGGTATAACCCCTGTTTTCGCTATATTTGATGTTGGTATAATTTGGAGAGAGGAAGGGAAAAAACAAATTATTTAAATAGGGATATAGGTGGACCCATTGCAACAATGAGATGTACAAGTTGTTATTAAAAAAACAACTTTACAACTTTGGCGGGGGAGGGGGGGTGGGACCATATTGGGGAGGGGGGGGAATGGGAAGGGATGGGAAGGGGAAACAAAGGAGGAGGCAACAATGCTTGATAAGAAATGTACTCATTATCTTGCCCATGTAATTGTAACCCCTCTAAACAGTATTTTCACAATAAAAAAAAATGATTTGTCAATGGGCAGAAATACCATTTTAAAGAATTTCATATAAATTAAAAGCACTAACCAAGGCGTGGTGATATATGCCTGTATGATCTCAGAAACCAAAAGGCTCGAGCAGGATCATGAGTACAAGGCCAGTCTAGCTTCATAATAAGTTCAGACCAACCTGGGCTACACAGTAAATTCCTGTCCCAAAATCTTTAAGCATTTCTGGTAAAGTTTTATGTACTAGCTATGATTAGCCAACCATTAAAAGCCTAGAAAAACTTAACATGCCTGTGGACCCAGCAACTCAGGAGATGGACATGAGAAGTATTGTGGTTCAAGGCCAGTCAGACAAAAAGTTACTCTGACATACATCTCAATAAATAAGCCAGGTGTGGTGGTATACACCTGTAACCCAAGCTATTCAGGAGCTGTAGGTAGAAGGATCATGGTCCAAGGCCCACTCCAGAAAAATAACTTGAGATCTCATTTGGAGGGGAAAAAAAAACGCAAAAGAGGATTAGGAGGTATGGCTCAACTGTTGAGTGTCTGCCTAGCAAGTATAGGTCCTGAGTTCAAACCCTAATACCACCTAAAATTTAGAAAAAGAAAAACAAGAACAAAAACAGCTGAGAATATAGACTAGTGGTAGTGTATTGATTCTTAGAATACGCAAGGCCATGAGTTTGATTTCCAAAACAAGAAAAGGTCCTATAGGTAAAGAAAAAGTACAAACACTCTGGCAAGCTACCTAACTTAAAAAATTAAAAAATTATATACTGTAATTGGATTACAATCCAAAATAATTGTTGCAATGGCTTATAGTGTATTATATTCTTCACTTCTGTTTAATAATTTTAGCTTGTTTTGAGCATAACTCACATCAAAGAAAAGAGTAGCATCTACTTACACCTCCCATTGTGATCCCATCAATAAGTGCAACATATGGTTTCTGACAAGAGCCTAAAAGAAATAGAGCTATAATGTTAGTTGTAATATTTAAAATCGTTACCTTTTTGTTTAAAAAACACATTATATAGATCTATTTTACCAAGGAAACTTTTATAAAACATATTAAAATTCATAAATAAATATGTAATTTTAGATGTTAATCTAAGCACAATACAGATTATTTGTTATCATTTAACAACTCAACTTTCAATCGGAAATAAAAGAATGTTTGTTTTAGCTATTGGGAAGTAAATTCTGCCTTAATAAGGCACCAATGTTAATGTACACAATTGGTTTTCTTTTCTTCTTCTTCCCCCTCCCTCCCACTGGAGCCAACACTTTCAGTCCAACATTTTGCTTATTAATTAATAAAGATTGGCACAGTTTTGGATGTAAAGAACAGACAGATGTCCATTCAGTTTGGCTCACTGAGCTTGAGTGGGAAACTTTCCCTGTACCCCAGTCCTACTCGTAACTCATAAAAATTACAGAAAAAGCAATTTCTAATTTTATATCCAATTGCACATCAATGAAGGAAAGTCCCCAGGTGTCAGGAGCACAAAAGAAACTTGAAGCCAATAGTTGAGTGGAAACAATAGTTAAAGATTATGAGCTAACCAATCAGCTAAATGAATAAAATTTCAGTTAGGAGCTCTTCCACTTGCAATGAAAACTAGAAGAACTTCACTGGTTGATTCTAGAACTCAAGAACACAAGCCTTCTGCCCAGGAGAGAAAAAAATCCAAGAAAGTAGATGTTCCATCACTTGATAAACAACCAGACAAAACAAAGCACTCTTAACAAATAGGGAACAAAGTAAAAATACCCTTAACTTGCTACAAGGAGATATGAAACCTTCAAAACTTTGCTTCCATTGAAACCTACAACTTTGACCATAAAAATTTTTTCATTGTGGAGTTCCTTAAGAATTAAGAAATGATTCATTTTACATAGAAAGCTGAGCCCCAAGATTTTGTTTCCCACAAAGCTAGATATATGATCAGAAATCCCTATTTTTTAATTTATTTAACTTTAATTTTTATTGTTATTATAAGGTGATGTACAGAGATGTTACAAGTTACTTAAGTCAGGTAATGAGTACATTTCTTTTTGGACAATGTTACCCATTCTCTCACTTTCTCCCAGCTTTTCGCTCCCATCCCTATCCACAGTTGAATCCCTATTTTAATATTAACTTTATAACAAATAAAAGTAGAGTCTACCAAAATTAAAGTGTAATTCTTCTGGAATAAGCAGTCAGAAAGTTCAACCAATTTTATTTATGCCCAATACATGGTACATAAAAGTTTCAATAAGAGTGCCTATTTTAACCAATCATACCATCCTCCCCATTTCTCCACTGTATTTTTAATGCTCTCAACAGAGTACACCTACCAATAGTATTGTTCAGTAAATATTCTTCTCTGAAGAAATCCTGAGCCAGATTCTGCTTTGTCTTTGCAGCTTCTGAGACTGCTATGGAAGGAAAGAAGGAAACACATTGCAAATCAAAAAAGTGTTTTCTAATCAATATAGTCAAATAGATTAAAAATACCGTGATAAGTACTGGAGTGAAGGTTCTAAAAGGGCTTAACACACTTAAACTGCCCATGTTACAGACATATTACACTTAGACACAGACCAATTGTTAACATTTTAAGGCAAAAATTTTTGTTCGATATACTGGTGTATTATGGTATATATTTCATAATTCCCAAGGTAGGCTATAAGGTAGGCCATAGGTTTCCCCAAAGCTGGTCATATGTTCGAATTTTTCCTGCTGTCTCTTGGAGCTGGTCATGAAGACATTCTCGGCCTCACTTGTCCAGAGCAGATGCCCTCATTTGAGGAGTCCTGTACCAGACCTGGGAGAAGGAATGTTGAACAGAGGCCAAAAGGAATGTGAACGTGCAGGCAGTGGGCTTCCTTCCTCTGTCTATTAGCATTCATCATACCCTTTTCATCCAGTCACATTTCCATGTAGCTATCCATGCTCCACTGCTCATGCAATGAAGGCTCCATAAAAATCCAAAAGGATAGAGTCTGGAGACTTCCACAGGAGATGCCTAAAGGGTAGTTCAGCTAATGGATGCTCCTCACTCCTTTTCCCATGTCTTGCCCTGTGCTCTATGCGTTAATGTCCTATATCCTTTATAATAAATACCCTTATAATAAACCAGTACATTCTCTTGATTTCTACAACCATGCAAGCATACTAACCAAATTCAACAAGTGGCTTATGGGAAGTTGGGTTTATACCCAGTGAGTCAGGAGCATAGGCAAAACAAACTTGGGTCTTAACTATTGGCATCTAAAGTGTAGGGGAAGGGAGCCATGTTGAGAATTGAGCCCTTGATCTTGGGATCTGGACACTACCCCCACCTAGATAGTGTCAGAACTGAATGGAATTATAAGACAATCAACTGTCATCCTCAACAAAATTGCCTGCTTAGTATGTGAGGAATAAATCCCACACATAAAAGTGATCTGTGTAATAAGTAGTAGAAGAAACAAAATTTGGGTCCATTTTTCCTTCTACATTCTCAGACTTACTATGTTCAGATTATATTACTTTGACAAAATTATGTGAGATTCAGATCTAAACTTTACTACATGTACAGTGAAGTCAAAAACAAATCTCTAAACTGTAACCCCTCGTACACTTTCGCAATAAAAAAAAAAAATCTCAGTTCCCCTCATTTTCTAACACTAACAACAAAAGGTTAGGTCTCTATTTTTCTAATTTCTTAATAATTATTATCTTTAATGGTTCTAGAAAATAAGATGAATTATAAACATCCTCAAATATTTACCTTTGTCAGTTCTTTTTTTTTTTTTTTGGTCAGGGGGCTTGAACTGTGTCCTTGAGCTCTTCAGCTCAAGGTGAGTGCTCTACCACTTGAGGCACAGCGACACTTCTGGTTTTCTAGTGCTTTATTGGAGATAAGGGTCTCATGGACTTTCCTGCTCGGGCTGGCTTTGAATTGTGATCCTCAGATCTCAGCCTCCTGAGTAGCTAGGATTATAGGCGGGAGCCACGGGTGCCCTGCCCCTTTGTCAGTTCTTATCAGAAAAAAAAAAATCACTAATATAGGAGAAGAGAATTCACCTCTTACATCACCACCAGCACAGAAAGCCTTTTCTCCAGTCCCCTTTATAATAATCAGAAATGTTTCAGGATCTTGTTCCCATTTCTATTCAAACAGAAGAAGATGGTATGAGCAAACTGTAAACATAAACTCATTAAAGATACATCCATATGTATACATATACATACATGTGTATAGATACATTGATGGTTTTATAAAACATATCTAGAGGAGTGGATCTCATTCATTTCCTTAAACATGGAATGAACTCCATTTTCTCTTCTGAGATAAATTAAGGTGTATTCCATAAAAGGCTCCTGCTTGAGTACTTTGTGATCAGATTTCTTCATGGCATCACAAAATTAGTAAGCCAATTAATATTATTGATTCAATATTAATAATATCCAATTACAGTATATGGTTCCAATTGAGCCCAAGATGAATAAATAAGGGCTTAATGATAGATTACATAAATTTGTAAGTCTGGTGAATAGCACAAAGATTGCTGATAGAGCAATTGTCATAGAGCTCTGTTCTAAGAAAAATATGCACACAACAGAATAAACAACTTATGATGTTGATGAAATATGGAATTGACTTGAACTTGGTAAGGATGACTAATAGACAAGCAGGATGGGGCACTAGGTAGAGCTGAGTAGTAGAGCAATTGTTTAGCATTTGTGAGTCCCTGGGTTTAATCTCCAGCACCACCAAAAAATAAATGAAAAATAAAAATAGAATGAAAGAATCATGAGGCAAGCATTTTGAAAAGAACTGTCTTGAAACCAAAAGGTGACTGTCATGTGCAAGAGATTAAAACCTGCTAACTTACACTCAAAAGTAGAGCCAGGTTCACTGTTTGAAAGGTCAGAGGAACAAAGAGTGGCAGACAGCTACCTAAAAGCTTCTGGAAAGGGCTGTCTCATGAAGAAAGGGCTTCCTATCACCAAGGGCATTCAATGTTATTACACCGGAAGGAACGGAGGACTCAAGAATCAATGGGGTCAGGGTGCATACGCAAGAGAGTTCTGAAATCCCTTCTGATAAAATTCCAGAAACATTACAAAGAATCTAAATAAATGCTCTCCGAAAATGACAAACCTTCAGCTGGGAGTAAATCTGCCGAACCATATTCAGGGACAGCGCATTGAGGAACTTTGGTCTGTTTAGTGTTATCACTCCTGCACAACCTTTCCTTTCCAACAACACTTCTCCCAAGCCTGCCGAGTGTGTAGACATTCTCTGTGCAGATTAAAAATAACCCAAGAAACAAAAACAGTGAAAATATTTCATCACAAGCTCATAGCAAATCTTTCATATTAATAACTAAAGGAATGGATAGCTAGACATATCTCAAAAGTTTTGAAGACTGTAAGTGAACAAATTCTAAAGTAAATTACGCATGCCTTTTGAATTATTTATTTTTATTTCTGAGTGAATCCCCTCATCCCCTAGCGTGGAATTCCCTGGACTATAACATACTCCTAAAATTTTTACTTTATTATTATTATTATTTGAGTTCTGTTATGTGTTTAGAATACAAAGTCAAAGAAAAGTTAACAAGTCTTAAAAAGTGATGTCTGGGCTGGGCTTTGATGTATGTAAAGAAAAAGAAAGACAACAACTACTAGGTAGAAGAAACAGTACATGCTAGGCAAAAAAACAATTGATATTTGATAATGTTAGTGTGTTAAATATGAATGAAATATGGCTAGTGGAGGAAAGGAATAATGGTGGGATAAGCAGGAAAAGCAGTTTGAGGCCAGGTGGTAAAACTTCAGATTTACATGTTACAGAGTTGGGAAGAGATAGATTCCTGAACACTAACTTAGGGGCTTACACTATATACTTAATGTAACATACAGTACTAATATAACACCTATAGGAACAGGAATTAACTAATTTTCTAAGATTCCATTACATACAATCACTAAAGTTCATGGTGCCACCAACCGTAACACCTTTTACTTATTTTTATATATTTATTGTAAAGGTGATGAACAGGGGGTTACAGTTATATAAGGGAGGTAATGAGTGCATTTCTTTTTGAATTTTGTTATCCCCTCCCTCATTTTCTCCTACTTACCCCTCCCCAAGTTATAAAGTCCATTTCCAACAGTGTCTAGAGCAAGTATCATTGTTGTATTAGTTCGTCTTAACACCTTTCTTTATACAAACACAATCCTATAAACCTCACATAGGAACAGTGTGGAAAGTAAAACAGGAAGTTAGGTACACTGGAGAATTATAGCTGGAGGTGCCTACTGGGAGAGTGCTTGCCTAGCATGGACCTGGCTGGCTCAATCCTCCATACTGAAAAAAAAGAACTGAAAAATCACAACTGGAATATGCCAGTTCAAACTAGACAACATACATGTAGCAAAAATCTAATAAAATGCAACAATCCACCTTTTATAAAATCATGTTGCACTTTTAATGCTGAAATTAATTTTTATTAAAATTCATTCTCAGGCAAAAATGTTTGTATTTACCTAGAAGAGTTTCGGGGAAGGATATTTAAAAAAAAGGCTAGCAGGCACTATGGTTCATGAGCCTAACTACTCAATAGGGAGGCTGAAAGAGACTAAATGTCTACATTGTAGACTCATTATGTAAGTCCAAGCAACTCAACTTACCCATGTTCAGTGGTATAACTAAAACTATATTTTAGCTATATAATATTGATACATAAACTTCATAGGAGATAGCAAGTATAACATTACAAAACCAAGAATAATAATGCTCTAAGAGTAAGAAAAACCTGTTAGTCCTGTTTTACCTGACTTCCCTATAATAACAACATGTTAAGTTAAACATTGTAAGTAATAAGGCCAGCAAAGTGAAGTCCAAACTTACCAAATGTTGTAGAATGATACTGGTTCTTTTAAATGAACCAAACCTGAAACACATGTAAAATACAATGAGCATGGTCCCAGGGGCAATCATGTCTCCATTTTCAAACTCTATAATTCTTTTTTTACTTAAGCCCCTTCCAAAAGTTATTACAGCACTGGGGAGGGCATGGCTTAAGTGAGAGAGAGCACAACTGTGTACATAGTCAACACTAAGCCCTGAGTTCAAATCCAGTGCCACCAAAACAATAAGGCATTAGAACAAAATATCTTTAAAGGACTTAACTCTCATTCATTGCTGAAAGACTCAGCAATGAAATGAGAGCCATTTTGGAAGAGTTTGTCAGTTTCTTACAAAATTAAATATATTAATATATTCTTGTCATATAATACAGAAACCTACTTCTTGAGTTTTGCCAAATGAGTTGAAGACCTACATCCACAAGAGAAAACCTGTGAGCCAGGAACCAGTGGCACAAACTTGTAATCTTAGATACTCAGGAGGCTGAGATCTGAGGCTTATGGTTCAAATTTCATGCCCAGGCATGAAATTCTGTGAGACTCATCTCCAATTAACCACCAAAAGCTAGAAATGGAGCTGTGGCTCAAGTGGTAGAGTAAAAAAGCAAAGAAGCTCAGAGATAGCACCCACACCCTGAGTTTAAGCCCCAGAACCACACATGTGCACACACACACACACACCTGCATATGAATTTTTTGCTAACTCCATCCACAATTGCCAAAAGGTATCAGTAACTAAGATGTCAAAACAGAAATGAGCTATCTTCACTCACACACACACAGACACACACATACACAAAACACCTGTATACATGTACAAACATGAGGAAATGTGTGCAAAGCAGAAGTTAATCTGAAAAGACTACCAAATACATGAATTACAATGTCAATATACTGAAGAAGGCAAAATTATAAAGTCAAGAAAAGAGTCACTAGTTGGCAGAGGTTTGGGGAGGAAGCATGGGCAGGTGGAGACAGAACATGTTTAGGACAGTGGGACACATTTGCGTGACATTGAACAAATGAAATTGAGCATGACACATTGCTCAACTTTTCTGTAAACCTTAAAAATGCTCTAATAACTATTCATTTGAAGTGTTTGGTAAGGATGCAATAACATGGGCATTTTCAGACACTGCTAAGAGATCAGTACTAACTTTCTAGTAAGCAGAATGAAAAACAGATTCACAACCTTTAAAAGATTAACTGTGTGTGATGGTATACATCTGCAGTCCCAGATAAACAGGAGCTGAAGCAAGAGGCTCACTTAAGCCCAGGAATTCAAGTCTAGCTTGAACAACATAGCAAGAGACTCTATCTGGATACTGTTTTTTATTTTAATTTTAATTTTTTATTGTAAAGATATTGTACAGAGGAGTTACAGTCACACGAATAAGGTAATGAATACATTTCCTATGGAGTATTGTTACCCTCTCCTTTGTTTTTCCCCTACCATCCCTTCCTTCCCCACCTCCCCAACTCCTCCCTCCCTTGCTCCCCCAAGTTGTAAAGTTCATTCTCAACATAGCATCTCGTACCTCTCATATGATACAATGGGTCAACCTGTATCCTTATTTCAGCATTTTGTTATTTCCTTCTCCTCCCCAAGTTATAAAAATGTATATACAAGATGCAGAACACAGTTATATTAAGTGAAGTAAGCCAGGCCCAAAGAAACATAGGTCCCTTGGTTTTCCTTATTTGCAATAAACTAGTATATGTCTAGGACAAGTAGAAAAGGTCAAAAGCTATGTATATATGACCATATAAGATGATGCTAAGCGAGATGTACCCCAAGATAGAGACACAGAGGTTTTGTCTTTGTTGTTGTTTTTAATGTACTTACAATGTACTATGTGATTTTTTTTTGTTTGTTTCTTTTGTATGTCCTTCCCCCATGGTATAACCTGTTTTCAGGGTATTTGATTCCAGTGCCCTGCATCTTGTATAGACATTTTTCTAATTTGGGGAGGGGAAGGAAAATAACAAAATGCTGAAATAAGGATACATGTTGACCTGTTGTACCTATGAGATGTACAAGACACTATGTTGAAAACCAACTTTACAACTTGGGGTGGGGGGGGAAGAGTTGGGAAGGTGGGGAGGTCGGGAGGGAAAGGATGGTAGAGGTAAAACAAAGGAGGAGGTAACAATACTCCATAGGAAATGTACTGATTACCTTACTCATGTAACTGTAACCCTTCTGCACAGTATCTTTACAATAACATATATATATATATTTTTAAAAGATGCAAGGCACCAGAATCAAATACAGTAACAACAGGGGTTATTCCACACAAAAGAAACAAAATATTACATAGTACATTAAAAACAACAGCAACAAAGAAAAAAACTCTTGTGTCCCAATCCTCAGGTTTATTTCGCTTAGCATCATGTTAGATGATCATATGTATATAGCTTTTGACCTTTTCTGCTTGTCTGGTAAGATTATCATAGATGTATACTAGTTTTTGCAAATAAGGGAAACCATGGAAGAAATGCAAATCAAAACAACATTGAGATTCCACCTCACCCCAGTTAGAATGACTATAATCAAGAAATCTAGTAACAACAGATGCCGGAGGGGATGTGGCCAAAAGAAAACCCCACTGGTGGTGGAAGTGGAAACTTGTTCAACAACTTTGGAAAGCAGTATAGAGGCTCCTCAAAAGACTACTCAGAAAGCTCCACTATGATCCAGCAATCACACTTTTGATTGAGCATTTACTCAAACGATCACAAACAAGGCCATACTAAAGCTACCAGTACAACTATGTTTATCACAGCATTATTCACCATAGCTAAGATATAGAACCAACCCAGATGCTCCTCAATAGATGAATGGAATAAGAAAAGGGTATATATACACAATGGAATTCTATGCCTCCATCAGAAAGAATGACATTGCCCCATTTGTTAGGAAATGAAAAGACTTGGAAAAAAATTTTATTAAGTGAAATAAGCTAGACCCAAAGAAATATATTTTATTAATTTAAAAAAATCTTCCACTTCCATCTAGTAATTTCACAAGCATTTGCAGTTGATTTATACAGATGTTCACAGCAATTATTTATGTGAAAGAAAAAATTCGAAACAAAATATCTAATACAAGCTGATCACTCCTGCAATCCTTAGCTACTTAGGAGGCTGAGATCTAAGGATCATGGTTTGAAGCCAGCCCAATAAACTACCAGATAAATGGAAGTGGTGTTGTGGCTCAAGTGATAGAGCCCTAGCCTTGAGCTGAAGAGCTGGGGAACAGTACCTTTAGTTCAAGCCCCATGACTGACCAAAAATAAAAGTCTAATACAGCAATGTTTTTAAAGGCACACCCATAAAACAGCTACTAAAATGCTTATTTAAATACTTACATCATGTAAAAATAGTTATGACACAACTTACAACAATACCAAAACCACAAGTTACAAAGCAACAGTTTCTAATTTTGTTATTTAAAAATGCTTAGGCTAGGAATACAAAACGTCTAGTGAAACAAGCTAGACTTACAGTTTTTTCAAGAATCTAAATCTTAAACAAAAAAAAAATTTAGTTAACTTAGGTGGAAGACTTCTTTGGGGTGAAAAATGGGGTGGGATAGAAAACATGAGAAAGGCAGAACATGATTAGAAATATTATGTGTGCAAAGGTCACAATGAAACTTATATAAAACATTTGTAAGAAACTTAAAAGGGGAAAGGCTGGGGGAGGAAGGATACGGAAGAGTAATAGAGGAGGATAAATATAAGCCAGAAACATTGTATGCATGCATGCAAATGAACCCTCACTGCTGGAATGCATACTTGAGAAGTTCAAAATGTATGAAAAGAAGTCACAGCAGGGATCAATATCCACAGTAGCATGGCAGGAATTGTGCACATCTGCAGATCCAGATTTTAGCTGATGGAACTAATTTTTTCAAGGCTAGTTTGAGGTCATAAAAAGAACAATAGCCAAAGGCAAAGGAGAAGAAAAAGTGAGTAAGACCATGTTTACCACTTGTAACCACATATTAGATGTTTGAGTTTATACTTTAAAAACTGGAACTTTGGGGAATTTTTGTTTCTTTCCTCTTTGATATATTCTTATTGAATACTACTATAAAAAAGAAGGAAATCAATCACTTGAATCAGTCACACTTTTCATCTCTGGCCTAGTATTTTAAATTTGCTCCACAAGTAAAATATTCTCTCATCCTAACTAATAACTCCTATTACAATCACCCCCCAAGGACTCATAAAAAATTCCAAAGCTCATGTCATATCCAAGACTAATTAAATCAAAGACCAGAGGGTGGGATATAGGCGTAAGTATTTTGTTTTAAGCTCTACACAATGACTACAAAAGGCAGTCATGTTGCCATTAAAAGCAATACTTGATAAAAAGTAAACTAAAGTGACAGATTATAACTTACTAGGGAGTATTCCCCTCCCTCTTCCCTCCCTGGGTGGGGCTTAAAATACGGGCCTGTGCACTGTCCCTGAGCTTTTCCTGTTCAAGGCTAGTGCTCTACCACTTTGAGCCACAGCACCACTTCTGGTTTTCTGTAGTTAATTGGAGATAAAAGTCTCAAGGAGTTTCCTGCTCCAGCTGGCTTTGATCCTCAATTCTCAGATCTCAGCCTCCTAATTAGCTAAGATTACAAGCATTAGCCACTAGCACCCCATCTATTAAGGAGTATTTTAAAATCAAGTTTCCATATATTTTTTGAAAAATCTGAATATGCTTATCCTAATACAGTATTACTAAAAATGATTTTCATCCTGATTCTATTTGTATACATAAGTAAAAACACTATATAACAAATAAAGAAAAGAGCCTGGGGCCTGAAAGAAAAGTAAAAGACCACAGACAAGCTGGAAGTCACATGCATGGACAATCACAGAGGGAGAAGAACCACTCCACTCTCTGCAAAAAAGAAAGAAGCTGCCCTTGGAAATGTAATGGTGGTAAGATTGATGCCTGGGTCTGCAAATGTGGTTTTGTTGTGGTTACTTGGATTTGATTAGTGCAGTGTTTTAAAGCCACAAGCATTCATCTAGCTAACAACACTACATGTTTCCTGACCTCTAAATTTTGGGTTACATCTCCTGGCACAGAAAAATGTAACAGCATTAAAGACTGACCCTCTAATCAACTAAGAAACAACTAAGTCGAAACAGAAGAGAACAGACAGCCAAAAGAGCAAGAACCAAAACAAAGTAGTTAAAGGAGTAGAAAGCTGATGGGCCATGAGGGGAAGAAAATAGTATTATCAACAAGTTAAAGATCAATTCTTTTTAAGAGTTTGACCTCCTCCTTCTCACATCTATACTTTTGCATTAAGACCCTTACAAGAGTTGTTAACCAAATTCATGTTTGTCTAATCATTTATTTAATATCTTCTCTTTCAGATGTCAAGGGCATCTGGAAATCTTATGTAAAGAACAGAAGAAACACATAGTCCAGATAACAGAAATGCCTAAAATGTGCCTTCCAGTAGCTAGAATGAATTAAGTACTGTGGTACTCATGAAGTAAACTGAAGCCAAAAAATCTTCAACTCTAAGCCTTCAAATTTTTATTTAGCTCCACAAGCAGGAGAGTATTCCTGCAAGTATAAAACTTAGTTAATATTAATCTAGCAGTATTGTATAGAACTTACTAAATTGGGAGGCAGTATGTCAGTCAAGCTTCCACAAAATGAACGAGTGATAAATTTGAGAATGCATATAAATTTGTTTGGGAGTATGAGAGAACTTAGCATTGGGAACCCAGAAGTTGGTGAACGTAAAGAGTAACATTTGGATGCATTTGGGTGCACTTACTCTTCAATGGAGACATTCAAATAGTTTTCACCAGCACCAGAGCTTACAGTAAATAAGGCTAGACAACTAAATTGTCCATTATCTTCAGGAAAGTGGGTCTGGGGGCAAAATATAAAAAATAAATTCAAAGGCAAAGCTGGCACTGGAACAGATTAGTAATAGTGATAATAGGAACATATGACAGTGCTAAAGAAACCAAAGAAGACCAGAGTTCAAGCAGAATTGCCCAACAATGCCAGCCATGGAAAGCAGGCCCTTTCCCTCTCTGTCATGGGAATCTCTTTCGTATTTGTGGATTACACTACTGTAGACTGGACGGTCTTGGCCTCACCTCTGTTTTGCTAGGGAAAATCCTATTCCAGGGCTGCCACAGGAAAACCACCTCTAATCAACCCCCCAAGCTAGTCCTGATCTAACATAGTCAATCCGCATCCTGAAAGCTAGGATGGAATAACGAGGAGAAGCATGGAAATGATCGTCTCTTCTATTAGGCTGTTAAAAATCTGTTTCTCAAATAATTTGGTATTACTAACCATGTCAAAAGAAAAAAAGGCAGCAATGAGTGTACGCACTCTCTCCAAGAGCTGGTTAACTGTAAAGTACTAAAAAAGCAAAAAGTGTAAAAAAAAAAAAAAGTATCCACGTCGAACAAAGGTTTGAGAAGCAGGCCAGTGGATACAATGTTGGACTCTTTTGCAACAGTAACTATTAACTTCCCCACAAACTTTTTGTCCCTTCGTGGGAAAACATCAAGCAAACTGTTGAGCCTTTGCACACGGGACAGTCGTCCTTATTTGATCAGGACAAGCGCTGGCTCCAAAGCAAATGCACCCTCACTTTCTGAAAGGATGATGACCCGATTTCCGCGAGGAACACTTTCAAAGGGCTAACATCTGCACACAACTCCCCCAACCCCAAGCCACGTTCAGGGGCCTGCGAACGGCAGCCGCCGGGGTGAAGCTGGAGCCGTCCGACATAACCCAACCATCGAGTCCCATCACCAGCCCCAGACACAGCCGGCAACGCGCGAGTGTGCTCGCTGCGAGTGTGCTCGCAGCCCAGGCAGGGGACTGGCCGGGCGGGCGAGCGGACACCCCGGCCCTTCTCCCAGCTGGGCGAAAGTAGCCAACGGCCCCCGCCGCCGCTCTGCTGGCTTCTTCGCCCACTCACCTCGACAGCAACCTCCACAAGTCTTGCTGCCCCATGCCCACAATATTTGTCTGAGTTAAAGCCGTCGAGAGGGCCGCAGCGAGTCCGTACCCGGCGTCAGCCCCGCCCACTTCCGTGAGACACCGAGAGGTCCTCCAAACCGCTAGAGAGGCCCCGAAGCCAGCTGTTTTGTTTGGTTGTGAGCTGCCAGGGGGCGGGGCAAAATAACCTCTTGAAGAAATGGGTTGAGACTTAGGGGCGTGGTCAGAATCGGAGGCGGGGTGAAAGCCAAAGCAGAGAAGATGCTGAGGCCGGGAGAAAAGAAAAAAAGGAAAAAACAAAAAAAAAAGAGATTGCCCTCTAGAGGCTGTCTTGGGTAAAGACGAATCGGTCATTCAGGTTTGGCCCGCTGCTAATAGGACCAGAGTATTTAGGTAAAGACTTCTCTATTCTAACTAGGATGAAGTGGAATCTCTCAGTGTTATGATTGGCATTTCTTTTATGGCCAGAGATGTTGAGCATTCTCCATGTGTCTATTGGCCAGTCTTACTTCTTCTGAGAAGTCTCTCTTTAAGTCTTCAGCCTATTTACTAACTAGGTTGTTGTTTCGTTGAGGATTTCTGTTTTTTTGGGTAAGGGGAAAGAATGAGTAATTTTTTTTAGCCCTTAGTCGAATGTATAGCTAGTAAAGATCTCCCATTCTGTGGGCTTTCTATTTATCTTGCTAGCTGTGTCCTAACAACATTGAGATTCTACCTCGCCCCAGTCAGACTGGCCATTATCAAGAAAACTAATAATAACAGATGCTGGTGGGGATGTGGCCAAAAGGAAACACTACTACACTGTTGGTGGGAATGTGAACTAGTTCAACCACTCTGGAAAGCAGTATGGAGGTTCCTCAAAAGACTAAAACGTACAACTTCTTTATGACTCAGTAATCCCACTCCTGAGCATTTATCCAATTGACCACAAGCCAGGCCACGCTAAAGCCAGTAGCACAACCATGTTCATTGAAGCATTGTATCCCATAGCCAAGTTAGGGATGCAATCCAGAAATACCTCAGTGGATGAATGGATCAAGAAAATGTGCTATATATACACAATGGAATTCTACTCTTAAATCAGAAAGCATGATATTGCCCCATTTGGAAGGAAATGGAAATAAGCATTTGGCAATAAACTATTAAGTGAAGTAAGCCAGACCCAAAGAAACAGGTTGCATTGCTTCCTTCATTTGTAATAATTAGAACATGCCTATAAATCTATAAGTAAATACAATGGATGGTAAGGGACAAAAAAATTACACTTGGACATGATAAACAAGACATGGACATGATAGGATTTGATAAACATTCACACAGTGAGACAAAAAGAAGATATTCTTAGGATCACAAGGGCTCAATAGCTATGTGCATATGATTATATAAAGTAATGCTTATTGAAATGGAAATACTTTGTTTTCCCCCTTTTGTTGCTGTTTTTTATTTCTGTGCTTTTTGTCTTGTATGTAAGTTTATTTGATTGGAGGCACAGGAAGCATAGAAATGGGGGGACAAAGGGTGAACAAATATAGCAGTGATACTCACTAGACACTATGTTGAGAGTGAACTATGTAACTTAGGGGGAGGAGGGGAAAACTGGGAGAAAAAAAAGAAGTGACACTGTTCAAAAAGAAATATACTCCTTGCCTGGCTTACCTGTAAATCCCTCTGTACATCACATTTACAATAAAAATCAATTTAAAAAAAAGACTTTTCTAGAATTTTAATAACCTTTAAATAAAAATAAAAGCCAGACACTAATTGCTCATGCTTTTAATCCTAGCTATGTAGGAGGATGAGACATTGGTTTGAGGTCAGCCAGGGAGGAAAAGTTTGTGAGACTCCATCTCAAATATACCAGCCAAAAAATGACTGAAGGAGTGGAACAAGTAGTTATCCACCTGCCTAGCAAGCAAACACCAGGCTCTCACTTCAGATCCCACTATAAAAAAGAAAAGAACAATAAAATTTAATATTCTTTGAAACTCAAGCAGATGGAATACAGTTGATAACAAATAAATTATCAATATAGTTTGTTCCTAATCCAACATAGCTGAAATCTTTTACATTGATATTGGGACATTTCCAGTTTACTTGGCAAGTTACAGATCCTTCTTCCCGGTGACAAAAAGAATAAGTGATAGATATGATCTCACCAGCTAAACTAAACATTACAGTTAACAGCATAGGCAGTTAAAAACAGTTTAACAACAGTTAAAAGCATAGACACATTAAGCAAAAAAAAGCTTATTAAGTCAAGATTTAACTACGCCATTAGGATCCACTGTAGAGTTGTTTCCAGATCCACCCAAAGGTCAAAAGAACAGTAAACATTCATCATGAAGGAAGTATTGACTTAGTATCAGAAATAAGGCAACAGGTGAAGAGTTTTAGAAAGTTTTTCAGAGCTAGGGTTAGAACTCAAGCCCTCCTTCAGACTAGATAAACACTACCAGTGAGCCACACTTTCTACCCTAATAATAACCCCAAAAAATTAGCAGCTTAAAATAACAAACATTTATTATCTCATTCAGATTCTGAGGTTCAGGAATCAGGGAAAGGCTTAGCTTGGTGTTTGTAGTTCTCAGTTTCTCATGTTAGCTGGGATTGTAGATGTTAGAATGCTCACTGGAGGAAGGAGGATCCTTTACCAAACTTTTGATTCTTGGTAGCTTTCTAACCATCTGGGCTCTTTCATATGGCTGCTCACAAGTAGAAGCTTCCTTCCTCTAGAGTAAGATATCCTAGAAAGAGAACCACCTAGATAAAAGACAAAGTGTGGTTTATAATCAAAAGCAATACAGAGGTGCCTCCCAGTAATGCTTCTCCTGGGCATTTAGCCAATGGACCACAAACCAGGCCACACGAGAGCCACCAGCACAACCATGTTCATTGCAGCATTGTAGATAGCTAAGATACGGAATCAATCCAGATGCCCCTCTGTAGATGAATGGACCAAGAAAATGAGGTATACAACCAAACGTTCTATGCTTGTCTAACATTCATGAAGCCTTGGGCTCGATTCCTCACTACCACATAAACAGAAAAAGCCAGAAGTGGTGCTGTGGTTCACGTGGTAGAATGCTAGCCATAAGCAAAAGAACTCAGGGACAGCACCCAGGCCCTGAGTTCAAGCCCCAGGACTGGCAAAAATAAAATAAAATAATAAAATAAATAAACAAAGAAGAAAATGTGGTATATATACACAATGGAATTCTATGCTTCCATCAGAAAGAAGGACATTGCCCCATTCATAAGGAAATAGAAAGACTTGGAAAAAATTACACTAAGCTAAGCAAGCCAAACCCAAAGAAACTTAGGCTGTATGGCTTCCCTCATTTGTAATAACTAGAATATGTCTAGGATATTCTCAGCAAAGGAACACAAAGCAAGTGAAATAAGTTTTCCTGAAGAGATAAGTTCAGTGAGTAAGCATCAGGTGTCCATATGATTGTTAATACATCGATAAACTTTCTGAACTGGTTAGTAGTCACTGACTTCAAGGAGCTCCTAAGAGGCACTGGTGAAGAACACTTTGATATAGCTATATACAAATAGAGACCCATCCCCCTGAATCCACAGATGTCTAGATTCTTTGAGGGAGATGCTACTTCATGGTGGTAATGCTTGCACACTGGGAGACCTGTGTCTAAAACCTATGAGGCTCTTTTTCCCTTTTTTAGGACAGCCTGCAGGCTGCTACACACCAGAGTTGACCTCAAAGCAAGCATGGTACCGTAGTTTCCCATTATTTCAAAGATAAATTATTTCTGACTTTTATGTTTGTTCTAATCATTTGGGAAGTCCAAATAAACAGGCTGTACCATATACATTATGATGGAGTTACTGAAATGATCATCGAGAACAAAACTGGAGGACTCCCCTCCATCTCCCTGTCTCCTTGACTGCGTGGATTCTCAATCAAACGTGTGGGCTGTTTGCTTTATCTAATTATGGACAAGCTGATAGGATCTAAAGGCTATGCCAGATGTTGGACCCTGGAGGTTGCATGGTACTATGGAAACCTCTCATAAGGCTACTTGTCAAATAGTGTACATATGCTTCCCCTCCCAGCAAGTTATGAAATAATGCATACAGCATGACACTATTTATATTTTAAAATCTTTCAAGAAAAAAAGAAGTATGTCAGCACACAACAGCGATGTACTATTCACAATAGCCAAGTTATGAAATTATCAGATGAATGAATAAAGAAAAATGTAGCACATATACCTAATTCAGTATTATTCAACAGTGAAAAAAAGAATGAAAGTATGTTATTTGCAGGGGGCGGGGAATGAATGCAGCAAAAACCATAATGTTAAGTAAAATAAGCCAGACTAAGAAAGCTAAATACCTCTTTTTTTGTTATATGAGAAATCCAGACCTAGCAAAAAGAACATGAATATTAAAAGGAGAATAATTTGGTGGTAGGGAGCCGTGAGGAGGGAGTGCACATGATCAAGGTACATTATATGCACACATGAAAATATTATAATGAAACCCATTGTACATTTTTTTAAGACCGAGCTGGGTGCTGGTGGTTCAAGCCTGCAATCCTAGCAACTCAGGAAGCTGAGACCTGAAGATTACAGTTCAAAGTCAGGCCTGGCAGGAAAGTTCGTGGGACTTTTATCTACAATAAATTACCAAAAAGAAATTACATAAATAAAAGAAAGCCAGGAGTGGAGCTGTGGCTCAAGTGAAAGAGCACTAGCCTGGAGCAAAACAGCTCAGAGATAGTGTATGGGCCCCGAGTTTAAGCCCTAGGACTGGCATTAACAAAAAGCAATAGAGAGTGTAAAAATGATCAAATATTGTATGTATGTGTTGAAATGTAACACTGAAACCTCTTTATACAATTAGTATATGTCAAGCAGAATAACTTTTTCTTAAGTTTTTTCTTTGCTGTATTCACTTCATTTCTAGTGAGTCCATGAGGTGAATCTAATACACCCAAGGATATGGAAAGGTTTGTGTTCTAGTCCCTCCAAAACAGATATATTAGATAAAATCTTAATATATGGTTTGATTTTTAGCAGATAGCATGCGAAATTATCCTAATTAAAATACATGCATAATACATC